TTAGTTATTATTGAATCACAGATTGTTATAAGTAATATGAAACGATTGCTACAAAAAAAGCCCAACAACGTCTAGACGGTCAGACATAAACTGGAGACCAGCACATACAAACTGTCAAAACACTCGCACCATTCTGGGCTGGAAACCCGGGGCAAGCCGACCAACACCCGCAACAACAATAACACCTGTTAGAAAATAGGAAAAATATAATAAAAACGTCTAGTACCTAACTTGAATCCTCAAACTAACATTCAGTCGCTGACAACCAAATAATACAGTTTGAACATTCGATGAAATATCAGGTGTTTTTGTTCCCCAAAACAAGGAAGCAAACCTGAAGAAATATATGTATTTAATATAAGATAGAGGGCTCTCACAAGCGACCGTGAGACTCTTTTTATGAATTTAGGAGGGAAGGTGTCAGTACCTGCAAGTTTCGATGGCTAATAAAGAGATATCGGTGATAAATTTCATATAATCCTCATTACAAAAGTAAATTTTCACACATAATTTTGAAATCCTACAGTTGAACTTTACATTCAGTATACTTGTAAATTTAGAAAGTAAGATCATAATGAGGTGTTTTAAAGGTTGTGGAGTACAAATTGAGCATGTAAACAATCATGTCGGGGAAAAAGGTTCTGTGAAACATTACGTACCTAGTACTGGAAATAATGCGGAAGTTATTGCTTAGTACAATTGCCCTGATACGTCATCAGGTTGTCAAGGACGTACTCATTCATATATGATACAATGTACCTTAACAATAGGTTTTATACACGCTGATATGCAACGTGACGTGACGTGCCATGACGAATTTAATGAGTCATGGTTGCAATCTCACGAAGTGACATATTTCGATAGATATGACAGAAAGAATATGTCAAAAACTTATGAGAAAATATGACGGGTTTGATAACCTGATTTCTATTTCAAAGAAACAAAAAGTATTTGAAAATCATTTTCGAATAGTAGGTTTACTAAAGATCTTTTGAGACAGAATTCCATGTTACGTTTGTAATCTTGTATAAAAACAAAAAAGTCATATTATCACCTAAAGAAAATATTAAAATATGTTGGTACTACAACTAAAAATAATTTGCATTTTTCTATATTTTACACTGTATGATGATTAAAAATGCATTTTAATGCATTTGTACATATAAGAAAAATTACTTTTGCATAAAGGTCATCATATGGAAAACTGATTCTCTCTCAACATTTGTAGACAGATTTGGAACGATCTTTTTGCCATCGAAGATGTAGAAAAATTTGACCAATCAGCGACAGAAACTCAATGTCGAGTTGGCCAGGATTCAAGTCCGAGGATTTCGACAACCTGACAATAGTATACATGCACACGGTAGCTACATAAAATATACGCATTATGCTGTACTGTTTGTGAGACCATCTACAATATTCAAAATTTGTTTGCTATCCCATCATGATAAAAGACTGCTAAATATAATAAAATATTGACATCTTTATTATCTTATCATTATCTAATTCGTTTACTTCTGCATTGAGCTGTATATTTTACAAAAACAAAGGGAGATTCTCCATATTCTTCAAAATATAGATAGCAATGTAAATCTATCAACAAAGATTTTTTGATTCCCAAATAATATCTCAAGAGGGAAAGAGGGAGAAAAAAAATATTTCCCTGCAGGAATGATTTTGTTTAGAAAGAAATATTAGCGCATAATTGCACTTACAAGATATTTTATTGTTTCAAAGCCCAGGAAAAAGAAGCTAAAAGATACACATATATTCCTTAATATGCATACGACTGAGGCAAGGTTTGATTTTATATTGAAGAATTTAATCTTGCTTTGGTCGATTTCATGAGATGATGAATTGAGTTGGTGATGAAACAAATTTAATGAACTGTGAAGCAGTTCAATGTTAATTTGTTTCATCACCAACTCAATTCATCACCCCATGAAATCGACCAAAGCAAGATTAAATCCTTTTTTTTCAATCAACGTGCTTTTTTCAATAATTGGAACTTGTGAAATCCATTCTGATAGTTTGAATCAGGTTCTGGAGCTTGTGCAACAATATAGTCCGTCATTGATGGACCATCACACAAGATGATGGTCTACCATGATAGTTCAATACAGCCAATCTATGAAGAAACAAGAGGCCTAGAGGGCCTGGGTCGCTCACCTGGATATCTAAGCAACCATTTGTACAATTTTAAATTTCCACTACCGAGTGATGCTGCCAGTCAAATATGGTTAATATTCATCTCTTAGTTCCAGAGAAGAAGTCGATAAAATCAATATAGCCCAGTTGCCCTCTTTTGGCCTCGCCCTTCAGGCCCCTGGGGGCCAGACCCACAGTTATACAAAATTGTTTCCCACTCACCTAAGGATGCTTCAGACCAAAAATGGAACAAACACTTTCATTCCTACAGAATAAAAAGGATTTTAGAGAATTTGCTATGTTTCCCATATTGGGCCCCGCCCCTCAGGTCCCTCAAGGGCCAGACCCACTATTTATACAAAATTTGTACAGAAAAGAAGGATTTTAAAGAATTTGCTATGTTTCCCCTACTGTGCCCAGCCGCTTAGGCCACAGGGGGGGGGGGGGGGGGGGGCAGCCCCACGGTTTATACAAAATTGTTTCACCTTCAGCCAAGGATGCTTCAGACTAAATATGGAACAAATACTTTCATTCCTACAGAAGATGAAGGATTTTAAAGAATTTGCTATGTTTCCCATATTTGGCCACGTCACTTAGGCCCCAGGGGGGCCAGACCCATGGTTTACACAAAATTGGTTCCCCTTTACCCAAGGATACTTCAGACCAAATATGGAACAAATCCTTTCATTCCTACAGAAGAAGAAGGATTTTAAAGAAATTGCTTTATGTCCCCTATTGGGTTCGCCCCTCAGCCCCCAGGGGGGCCAGACCCACCATTTATACAAAATTTGTTCCCCTTCCCCAAATTTGGTCAAAATCTGCTCAGTCGTTTATGACTAGTAGCGATTTTTAGGAAAAGTTGACGGACGACGGACGCTAAAAAACCACACAACCATATTTTAAATGTCATATTTAATTTTTGTTGATGAATTCATAAGATATCAAATTTTCTGATGCGTTATCGCGGAAGAATAATGTCTAGACGCGGTGCACAGGCTCATCGACGAGTCTACGAAAGCCATTTTTTTACTAGCTCGAAGTTGAGAGCCGCTAAATTTCGAGGTTCTTCATCTTCTGGAATGTGAAGCTGTAGTACCTAATTGAATGTCGAAATAGAAAGGAAACCAGACGTGACATGAAAGCACGAAACATCTGATATGATATTTAGCTGTTCGACTGTATTTCATATAAGACGAGACTACGTGGATCTACCACAGGGGATCGTTACAAATGTGTGAAATGCTGTACTGATCAGATATGGGTCACAACACACGCAAACATACATTTATACACATATGCTATATTGATATGGGTCACAGCACACATAAACATACATTTAAATGTATGTTTATGTGTGTTGTGACTCATATCAGGTATAGTACGATATGTGTATTTCTGACATTTGTAACGAACCCCTGGGGATCTACACAAGGCAGAATGGGTAAATGGAGGGAGAATTTCAAGGGCAGTACATGACTTGTCACTAACGGTAGTAACCGTGAGGTGATAATATTTTGCTGATTGATCGTTTTTGGTTGTTTGAACAATTTCTTGTGTTGCTTCAATACAAAATGTAAAATCTCATCAAGTGGTATCTTTGTTTAAACATGTCAATAGTTATCTCCTTTCGCAAAAACATACGCACAGCCAATGTTTATCTGGGCAAATTCATCAGCAAATGAAACGGGTTACATTTGGTAGTTGCATTGAGTCCAACTTGAGTAAGAATTTAAGTATTATAGTAAATATGTTCCTATTCATGATACTTTTTAATTACACCACACCAAACTAGTGTAATTGTACAGTATTGGATTGTTTAAAGCAGTTCAGAGTTTGTGTGTGGATTTTTTCCAATTACCATAACACCATAAAAACAGAAACCAGATTTATAATTTGTGTTTCTTTTCCAACTTGAACATATTCAAAATTTCTTATTGAATTAAATTTCTGAGATCCTCATTCGAACATTTGCATTTTATTTTCATATCTCATATACATACCAACCTGTCTGGTTGAATTATATTGACATGGAATTAAAACACCGTGTCCCCCTCATGGGCTCGCGTTTCCCCGCACATATTTCCCTATTCGGAACTTCTCTAGCAAAATTGGCAAGACCCATCATACAACCGATTTCCGAGTGACTGAAGCAAATGACAACATTGGCGTGTAAACCTAATCACCTTCAGTATTTGTGTTACTATTTGACATATTAAATTATGGCCTTTGTCCGAGTGAAACATGATTAACTTAGGAGGATTGTGTTTCTCTTCAACAAGGGCAATACATGTAAAATATCAGTATGCATATAATCACCCTGATTATCCACAGTTCTTCCGGGTTCAAACACTCGTAACTTTTACTTCCCTGTTGTTGATTAACATAAGTCTAATGTCACATAATTATTAAATTGCATTGCGAATCTAAACTGTACTACATCAACCGTACAATAAGTACGCTGCGTGTTCGTATTCGTGTAATTAATATTGCCTCTGATTGCCGTATGGAAGCAGGTCGATATCTAATTGTGACCTGCTTTCATGTTACAAAACTTAAATAGGAACTGCAAATGTTGATATAATTGAAATATAATGAATATGGTTTTTGTTTGCTGCCTTCAATCTGTAATTATTCCAGTGATTTTTACTGTCGTTAATGCTTTTTGAAACTGCTACACAGTCTGTTAGTATGATGGCAATGTGATGTGAATGTTAGTAAGGAATTGTAAGGAATTGCACATCTTCTGACAGAGAGCTTTGTTATCAGGCACGTACTATAAACTGTCGTATCAAAAAGCACGCGATCTTTCAAAGTACAGGACAATATAAAAGTCCGACCATAGCATATCATTTTCAGCACAAAATGTATTTCTCCACAAAATACAATTAATATAACTTGCATACATATAGCATCAAACTAAATTGATTGAGCATATATCACCCAGTACAGTATTGCATAAATACACGTGTACATAGAGTTGATGCACGTGCTACATATATTCATTGTCAAATTACACTTTATCGTCCCTTTATGTTCTATACAAGTCTTATCATTTCATTCGTTCGATCATTTCCCCATATTGATCTATTCCGTTTTTATTAATTGATGTATCAGCTTTCAGCCATGGATCAATGAAATGTCATTGTTTGGCTCACCATATTCCGGAGTTTTTAATCATGTCCATGCTGACTCCAAATCCATTCAAAATGTACATTAGCAATTCGAAATTAACATATATAAATTAAATGTTTATAAATCAATTTCCCATTCCTTGTTTGAGTTCATAAACACACAAACAACCAAACCACTTACTGAATTTCCTGTAAAGTTATTTTAAAATTAGGATTTAAAAATTGTTGGATGAATCACAAAATACATTTGTTCCTGACGACAATATTCAATAATAAATGTTGAACGTTGTCTCTTCCCTCTTCACAAAACCTGCGTCTCTCTGTTTTGCTCTACTTGTAATGCTTCACTTGTTCGTTGGTATGTTACATTTCGTTCTATTACATGTATGTTTTATAGAAAAATGTCTGCCACCTGTAACATACGTAGGTATTAAACATGACTTAGCCTAATTCTCTGGGAATGTCTACATGTACTCTACCCTTCCGTTTACATAGTCCAGTGTTCGGTATTTCAGGTAAAGATTGCAGCACATGTGTATAAACATATTTCTTATATTTTCCTGTTTCTTCAGATATTGAATATCCTATTTCTCTATAGTATTGACTTTGATTACGAATAACGGTTTTGTTGAAACTTCCAGTATTCAGAAATAAATCTTTTTTATAATAATGTAAAAAGATTGATCAATCCTTTGTTTACTGGGTTACTTTTTCTGAACGATCAATCTTTGTTTTGTACTGTCGATAACTTTTCCCTTTAAATTATTTTCAAATACAAGTATAGGTCATGCCAATTAACTAAACTTGCCTTGGCATTTCAAACAAACACTATTATCGGAAGGCATTTCTCCTCCACATCCCCGTTTTGCCCCAATCCATACCCTTTTAGTTTTCCTTGATATTTATCTTTAAATCAGATACATTACAAAATAATCTGACAGTGTTAAGGGGATATCATGTACAAACTGGTTAAAGAATTATTCAGATTTATTTATTCTAATACCATTTATATTACGACTGGAATTGATTGCTTAACGTATCAATTCTACTCATCACATGAAGTAAATGGACTAACTGAAACACGCTGCTTAATTATATAAACGTTTAAGCACAGTTTAGCCAACAATACCCTGCTATTGACGGCGTCAAGTGACTAGTGGTTCTACCACGTTTTTGCTGTAACCTTGATAGCCATAGTAATATCTATTGAGAAGTGCCAATGTTCATACTATACATACTTTATAGATTATTTGATTTGAAATTAACCAGCACTCCTTAACAGAAGTTTCGACAATTTGGATTTTTAATTATTTTCCCCTTGCATCATCGATGCATTCTAGAAGGACGAAATAGCTATATGATGTAATCCATTCTCGAAATACTCTATTAGCAAATGTTTAACTCTGATTCTGTTCTTAGTTAGGGTACTGAGGTTACATCACACGGACGCTCTACCTAGACAAGGTTTTCTTTTGACGCCTTTTTTTAACCTGGTTGGTGAGAGGTACACCAAACAGACTCTTCTACCGGGGTAGCAGCTTCACTTTGATCCCATCTTTAGCTTTCATGACGACCTCTGCTAGTGCTACGACTTCGTGGTCCTCGTCAAGCACAATACGAAATCTAAATCATTGACACAAAACCGTGAAATATTACTGTCCTACTATATAAAAATGAATAGTAACATAGTTGGAACAATACAAGTACACTGTAGTAATCTCACTGTTATATTATAAGTGTTTATAATAATATTGTATAACAACAATAAACGAGTAGCGCCACAGTTACAGAGAAATACAACAAGCACTTGCAACATCCTTATACAAAACAATTTATTGTATAAATGTCACTGTTTGACAAAAATTAATTGTTACATCGTTGGTTGTCTAAGAATGATAAAATAACACTTAAGTATCCTGTCAAAAGTAAAATAGCAATCAAATAGATTTATAAAAATAATTTTAAAATAGGTCAAATTAAAGCAGTAGTAACAGAAACGGTACATAAATGATAACTATTTTCTCGATTGTGTCGAGCCGAATGTTTGTAACCCTTATGCTAAAATGACTGTTGGAACTGAATGTAGAGATGCTTTAAAATGCGATGCATACACAGCAAGTGCAAAAAGAACCATCCCATCATAAGATACATGTCGAAGTGTCTTTAACGCAAATGGACTAAATGGGTAAAGACACACACAATGCATTGTATGGAAAATAACTCACCATTGTCATCGTGAGAGTTCATCAGAAGGTCAATGTAAAAGAACAAATGTGAGCTTCATGAAATCATTCATTTTTTTGATAAAAACCTTGACATGAATGTTTTTGCTAATCATTTTTTCAATAATTGACACGACACATGCCATCGTTGTATTGTTTAACGATTAACTGATCTCGGTCTTTCCGTTCTGCGTTACCTTCGCTTTATATGCAATTCCAACGTTTTTGAGAAAAGGATATGTTGAGTGTAATGTGTCTTGTAAATTAAAAAAAAAACCAAACCACTATATAATATGAATTACATACCTGTTCAGGACCTTGGCAAGAATAACTTTCATTTCATTTAGAGCAAAGTTTTGCCCTATGCAGTTTCTACAACAAAATACACTTGATAAGATGTCAACAATCGCACATTACTAAAATAAATTATACTCGAGGTTGAACCATTCATTGACGGAGTTAAAAACAATAGCCAAGGGAGTAAATCTTAAATATAAGTCTCTGCACTGAAAGAGGTATATACGCGACCGCACATAGACTTATTGCTATTATAAAAATAAGGGAACGCACCTGAAAGATGTGTCATGCATAAAAGTAAAATGTGCCTGCTTATTTTGGTCTGGTAATAAGGAAACTTGGCTTACAGACGTATATTATGTACTTACCTTGGTCCAGCAGAAAAGGGAACATAAGAAAATGGATCTTTGTCGCTAGATGCATGGTCTTCGAACCGGTCAAGTCTGAACTTCTAAAGGGAAGAAATAAATCTGTTTCATAAAGACCGCGTGTGGAGATGACATGAATGCTTAAGCTAATAGACAGGGAAATTACATTTTAGATGTGTCAATTCAAAGACAAACTCCCTCAGCAACCAGAAACCCCAAAGAGCTACATTTACAAAGGTTAATCACACAAGAGAAAACATGAGAAAAAATATACAAAAGAATAGTTTTAATCTTAACGATTTAGACTCCAAAGTTAGAAATATTGAAATAAGACACAGTGAGTTCGCTATATGGTCAATTCTATCTTGTATGCATACCGTTAGAAACTCTATCTCGATTTTCAAGGGTTTTGATATTTCTACGAGTCAATAAAAAGACGAAGTTGAATATAGATTAGCCCAACATATACATAAATAACACAGGAAAGTAACCAACCTGACTGCAAATCTATTGACCATGTCATATGCAAATGACTTAAATGTTTTACCGCAGACCAAGCTAGCTGTAGAACTGCGTGTTTATCATTCAGATGTTCCTTAATTTGTTTTAATGGAAAGTTAAAAGCATCTTTGAAACAGGATATATAATCATAAAACCTCCTATCATGAGTGGTTAGTGAAATTTCACCTAGACCGTGCGGGAAGGAAAATGTCAACGTCACCGGCAAATGTCATTTACAGGTTGATCGTATCCGAAACCAGCATAGGAAACTGTACGAAGTATCAAAGATATAAACTCATTAATGCAAATAAGGTTCAAAACATGACGTCATTCAATGATACGTCATACCTCGTGGTCTGGCCAGTTATCAGGGTGATGGTTGATACAATCAATCTGGACCATAACGTCGATGGACGCGGGGAGAATAACTCCATCCACTTCCAGGGGCTCTTTGAGCGTGCGCGAGATAGTTGGCACGGGCGTGTACATCCGCATGGTCTCTTTTAAGAAAAGATGAATAATCTGCATCCGTGGTAGGTCGTCCCTGGGTAAAACATGGTGGAGAAGTCAGATAATTGTTATACAACATTTTACATCATCAACGGTAAAATAGAGTATGAATCAAGCGGTAGCTACAGAGATATAAAGTATCAGTCACAGCCCAGCAGGCTTTAAAGATACAATAGTTTCCAAACGATTCCACTTGTTTTGGAGACATTGGTGTGCATAACTAAAAGACGATACTATGCCGTCACGATGAAGCTAATGATGGAGCAAGTAATAGGACATCAGCCAATTTCAGTTTACCATCAATAGCTGATACAGTGTGATTATGGACAAAGCTGACATCTATTTTAAAATTAAAAAGTTAAGGACAGTTACACTTAAGAATTTCGAGACGATTACATCAAAAGGTGTAAACGGGAAAACCAATTCATGAATAACATCTATTTCAATTAATTTACTTTATACGTGTACTCATATCACATGTTATGATAAGTTGTAATGTTTATCGTGTAAGTAATGAAAACATACCATGTGACCTGAACTCTGTCCTGCATTATCTCCCTTACTTCCTCAAACACTTTTTGCTGATACTCTGGGTACTTGCCCAGACAGTAAAACGTCCAGCTTAGTACTGAAGCTGTCGTGTCGTGACCTACGACAGTGAATGGGAACACACATAAACAAATAACGTAACCGTGCGTGTTCTTAAAATATAAATAAAATACATGCTTTTAACATAATGCAATTGTTCATCATTTTTAGAATGAGAAATAGGAATACAGAATACAATACTTATGTTCTTGCTAGTACGAAAGAAGAAAAATTAAGTAATGCTTTACGTTCTAAGAGACGGACCTAGGATTACATACTCTCACAATAATGTAAGCGTTTTGTGCTTTATGGTCAGAAATAGATCTAGATGTAGGCATAAGCGATCTGCAGTCGTAGGCAATAGCGTTATCGTTTACTTTGAGTTTTGTTAAAAATAACATGTAATATAATTTCAAGGCTTATGAAATCCTAAAAAGAAATCATTATAATGAATTGCAGAGAAAACTTATCTGCTCTGCTTTCTAGAAGTGCATTGTTACCCTTTTTCAACATAGTGCGTTTGAAAAATATTACATTTTTTATTATGTTGAATTGGGTATATTTAATATCTGCGAAACCATTTTCAACAGTATGTCAATCATATTTGTTTAGTTTAGCTTAATTTAACAGTTTTGTCAGGAACAGATATTGTTCATTAAGTATTTGATAAATGATTTGGTGGTAAAACAAAGGTTACAATGTAGTTGTAGAACACGTACAGCTTCTCCAAAATATATAATAATTAAATATAAAAGATTATAACCACGGGTTATAATTTGTGAACCGCTTTGATACGACCTTGGACCTAGGTTGTGATAAAGCGGTTTGAAAAAACCTCGAATTATTATTATCAAGAAAATAATCGATCCTTTCTATAAGTTCCAAATTTGTAATACAGTTTACCCGCGAACATGAATGTGTCCACCTCGTCCCTAATCTCCAGGTCGCTGAGTCCCTGACCATCAGTGTCTCTGGTTGTGATCAACATATCCAGGAAGTCTAGACGCCGCTTCTGGGTTGAGGACGGGTTGTTTTCCTACATAGTGGAAGAATATGTATAAGTTGCTACAATGAAGAATCAGAAACTGCTATCCATAATAATAATAATAATGTTTATTTCAGGAAATAGATCATAGACATCACATGTAACATAACAGTTGACATACATATTACAGTACATACATACATATATATTACTAAAAATATTAAACAGAATATCACAGGTTTTTGGGGCAGTCCAAGGAGCAGGTGATCCATAAAGCTGCAATCTATGCTGAGGAAATGTAAAGTCGTCCCAATGTTATTATTACTAACTGTGGTGTTCCTGTGTCTGCCTTGTTCCAGGACATTATCAACGCAGCACAGAACAATGAGATGATGTCCCAATTCGGCAGGAAACATCATAGCGAATTTCAAATGTTGCAAACAAAAAATATTTTCGGTTTTATGCTTATTTCTTCCTTCTTCGTTTTTAATCGACAAAAATACTTCCCTCGTGCAACATAAACAAACTATTTAATATATATGACATCCAGATCTTTTGAATACCGGATCCACTTCTTTCCTATATCACATCTGATAGGGGAAATCAGTCAAGGATAGTTACTAAATTGCAATTATAAAATCAAGGGACTTAATACTTTCTCTCCAGAAAAATACTAATCCTAAACAAAGTTATGAAGAAAAATACTTTTGAAATGTTCCCTGAATTTGCTAGTCTCAGTGTCCCTCTCTGCGCTCCTTGCTAGATCAACCTCAAAAATGAGCATTGTATATATACAAGCACTTACTAATGTATGTTGGTCATCCATGCATTATCAAAGTATATTATTCATGGTCAGACGTGTACTTTCCATGTATGTATTTGTTAAACACGTACTTTTAAAAGTCTATTGGTCATTGCATTAAGACTATTTCATTACCGTATGCACCCGTTTCTGTGGGTCATACATGTACGTACCAAGGTTTCCTTTCGGGTCTGGATGATTTTATTGGCAAAGTCATGAACATAGTCACATAGATTGAAGTAACGTTTGCCAGCACTGGTCAATCGGAATACAGCGTCGATTTGAAGGAGCGGATTTCTGTGTAAACAATGATGTTGACATCAGTAATATTCATCAAATGCAAACATCCTTTCTATAACTTTTTCTAAACTCATATAAATATTCTTATATTAACATAAACACACACATATTTAATGTATATAGCAACTGAGCACATGTGCCCATTCATGGGGTTAAGCTTCCTGTTGGAATCTATAACTTTATCTACACACTTACATGAACCTGTCTGCAGCCATGTGGGTTAGCTCATCCACAGCCAGAACGTATGGATGTTTGTCCCTGCCAAAGAGATATCAATACCAACAGAAAGATAAAAATGTGATGTTATTCATCTCTGCAAATATAATGATTTATTAAAAACGTATAAAATATTTCTGACCTAAGCCTTGTATGTCTGAACTAACTGTAGAGCATGTGTAATGGACTCGAGAGATAGTCTACGCCTCAGTATTAACCTTGTTCGTTTTATAACTACACTTGCTCTTGCATGTCGGGCTCTTACGTCAAAGACTACCCCTTGTTACTGTATGTTCGATTTGTGACAGTGTATTTGTAAGTCTTACCCTTGTTGCTGTTTGTCAGATTTGTAAGACAGTAAATGTTTAAGTCTTACCATTGTTGCTCTTTGTCAGATTTGTAAGACAGTAAATGTGTAAGTCTTACCATTGTTGCTGTTTGTCAGATTTGTAAGACAGTAAGTGTTTAAGTCTTACCCTTGTTGCTGTTTGTCAGATTTGTAAGACAGTAAATGTTTAAGTCTTACCATTGTTGCTGTTTGTCAGATTTGTAAGACAGTAAATGTTTCAGTCTTACCCTTGTTGCTGTTTGTCCGATTTGTAAGACAGTAAATGTTTAAGTCTTACCCTTGTTGCTGTTTGTCAGACTTGTACGACAGTAAATGTTTAAGTCTTACCCTTGTTGCTGTTTGTCAGATTTGTAAGACAGTAAATGTTTAAGTCTTACCATTGTTGCTGTTTGTCTGATTTGTAAGACAGTAAATGTTTAAGTCTTACCCTTGTTCCTGTATGTCCGACTCGTAAGACAGTATATTTTTAAGTCTTACCCTTGTTGCTGTTTGTCAGATTTGTAAGACAGTAAATGTTTAAGTCTTACCCTTGTTGCTGTTTTTCAGATTTGTAAGACAGTAAATGTGTAAGTCTTACCATTGTTGCTGTTTGTCCGATTTGTAAGACAGTAAATGTTTAAGTCTTATCCTTGTTGCTTTTTGTCCGATTTGTAAGACAGTAAATGTTTAAGTCTTACCATTGTTGCTGTTTGTCCGATTTGTAAGACAGTAAATGTTTCAGTCTTACCCTTGTTGCTGTTTGTCAGATTTGTAAGACAGTAAATGTTTAAGTCTTACCCTTGTTCCTGTATATCCGACTCGTAGGACAATGCACACCTCAGCAGGATATCAAGGGTGGCTACCGCAGTTGGCTTCGTTATTTCAACAGATTTTCCTTCCGTTGAGATGGATTCCAATTTGTTCTAAATGTTTAAATGGAAAATAAACCCAGGAATAATATATTTTATTCAAATATAAATTATTGTATACGGTTAAAGGATTGGTAAAATGAAACAATGCAGATCGAATTCCATTAATGAATCTAAACACTAACAAACTATGTTGCTCGTCCTAGTTTTCTCAACACTATACTGTCAATGAGGATTGGTGTGCGTGTGAGTTGTTTGTATGTGTTTGAAGTGAGGAATGGGTAAAGATGTTAATAGATGTTGTGATACGTTCATACATGTCAAACTATTCTCACACAGTAAATGTATAAAGTTGTACCCTTATTTACATCATCTGGAATCCCATTAGATTATGTTGGTCCAGGAATTATTTTATTGTTATATACTTTTTAAGTACACTTTCTTACGTCTGAATCGGACTTTGTCCAATACGAGTTTTACCGACCAAATAATTTAAACCCGACAAATGCCTCCCACTCCTGAAGTAGCTGAACTCCGGTCTTCTCCATTGTCTTTTCTGCTTTGTCAAAGATTCCCGAGAATGTCTCTTCTACATGTATATAATATTAATATATTTTTGTGTTAAATAATATTCTGGTCCAGTGGGTAGCAGTAACTTTGTTAGTCTCACAGTGTAGTCTTTTTAATAGTGATCGCCTATTTCCTACATTGAGCACTATACTGCCCCAAGGATGACAATACAGTAAATAGTTGCAAAACATAATCACTTTCGCAAAGTAATATTCAAAAAGAACTTTTGAAATATGTTCAGCTCATTTCTTAATCAATTTTAATCCTACATAGCATGCTGCTCAATCTCATCCTTTATTTATACAAGTTTTCATTCAGTTTGGCTTAGAAGTCTTCATCAGGCGAAACTTAAGAAATGAATGGAAAGAAAATACCCAATGCTAACATTGTTCATTGGACAAGTGAGCTTTACATCGATATTGCTTAGGAATTCTTCTTCTGTTTGTCTTTTGTATAAAGTGATTCATATACACGATGCCCATGGGCTTGAGTTAAATTACAATTGATACTGTTATTGTGATGCGACAAAGAATTTTAGTACATCTAAAAAAAAACATCTTTATGAATGGATTGGCGTTTTGAAAAATAATGGTGGGGTTTGACCAACATTTATATATAGCTAGTAAATATAAGTAAAAATATATAATAATATAAAAGTAATATTTACCATTAAAGGAGAATAGCTTAACTGCAATTAATAAAAATTCAAACTAAGTTTGAATTATTTCCCATTGAAAATCAATAATTTATACCCAAAAATGTCATTGTTGAAATTTCAGCCAATTTGACCACTTAAGGCACCACCACTCAGGTTCTTGAAAGGTCAGCCACATCTTGATTATAGATAACAACCAAGTTTCATCAAAATCTGACAGACAGTTTCTGGAGGAGACGTAAAACAAAATGATTGTTTCAGGTTTTGCATGAGTTTAAATTCTGATCCTCATCACCGAAGCATCTGTTTATGAAAATTGTTGAAAATTAAACTGCACTTCTTTTGAAGGTTTGGCACTCTATGACACCTTATGACCAGTCCTCGGCCCCCTGATGGCCAGTCCTCTGCCCCCTGAAGGACCAACCCCATTGTGAGTATACATTCTGCCCCCTACCCCACCCTGGACTTAGGATTACCACAAAGTTTTATCAAAATCTGATTGACAGCTTCTAAGTGCACGACGAACGACGACGACGGACAATAAGTGATCACAATAGTTCATCCGATTGACTCAGGTGACCTAATATGTATAGGAACTCACTATAAACCTATCACACGATTTATTGTAGACGTCTACGTATGTACGTAGGATGTCGAAGTGGAAGGCCGGTGTAAGCATACGTCGATTCCTCTGCCACTTGGAGCCCGAGCTGGTCAACAGTCCGTACCCTGTAAGTGATATAGAACTACTCATAGTCAAACCGCTTTAATTACCGTTTTTTCACGTACTTTTTCGTAAGTGTTTGTATTAATATCTAATTGGACGGGCGTGTTACTGTTCGTGCCTGATATGTAATTTACTACACGTAAAAGGTTATATCAGTGTTTATTCCTGATTGTATACATGCATGTTTATGTATACAATGTAAGAGTCCACAATGAGCACATACTCTATACAGCTTTAATGCCCAGTATTGTTACTTACAGTTAACGTGATCAAATCGTAATTAGCGCACGTGAACTATATATCAATTGCTGAGTCTGTCCTGTTACTTGTATGTTCTGTAGTGTTACTTGTAACCACTGAAGCGAAACTTGTTGTTTGTAGTGTTACTTGTTAGTTCTGTAGTGTACACTGTAACTTGTAATTTACGTCTGTAATGTTATTTGTTGAGTCAGTCTGTAATGTTACTTGTTACGTCTGTAGTGTTACTTGTAAGGTTTGAAGTGTTCCTGGATGGGTTTGTACTGCTACCTGTCAGTTATGTAGTGTTACTCGTTGAGTCTGTAATGTTACTTATTATTATATGACTGGTGCTAATTCCCAGCCCTGATTGGAGGAGCGACGTCATGTGACGAGTCTGTAAATATGTTACAGACCTCGTTCTATGAATAGAAAAGTTACAGACCTCGACTTATAAATAGAAAAGTGTTACAGACCGCTACTAATATAGACCTGGGTAATTTCCCAGCCATCGATTAACAGCCAATTGCAATCAAATCATCTCTTCCAGACCTCGTTCTTTGAATAGAAAAGTGTTACAGACCTCGACCTATAAACAGAAAAGTGTTGCAGACCGCTACTAGAAATAGGCCTAGGTAATTTCCCAGCCAGTCTGTAATTCTGTTACCAATCACACCTTCGGCCTCTGTAAATATTGTTCAGACCAAGTCCGTAAATCAGGGATAGACCTCACCTGAAGTCCATAATTTTATATTGTTTAGTCTGTAATGTTACTCGTTGAGTCTGTTTTGCTACTTGTTGAGTCTGTAATGCTACTTGTTACGTCTGTTGTTCCGTGTTAGGTGTTTAGTGTTACTTGTCAGGTGCGTTGTGTTTATTGTAAAGACTGCAGTGTTACTTGTATGTACGGTCAGTAATGTTGCTTAATTGAAGGGAGTGTATAGTAACAAGTACTTGCTATATGTATTTAGTGTTACCTGTTATGTATGTAGGGTTACCTTTCAATCAGTAGAGTGACTTGTTGGTTATGTAGTCCTACTTGTTTGATATGCAAATATGTTTGTTTAGTTTGTAGAGTTACGCGTTAAGCATGAAGTGCTACTTACGTTACAATATGAACAATTTCAGTAAATTTTCTGTTGCACTATCACTGTTTATTGAATTGTAATTTCTTTATTTTGAAGCTAAAATTTTGCATTAACCAGGATATTTAATAGTTTCTCTTGCGGCAAAATACGTTCTAATTACTTGTGATATATTTTAAGGGAACATCAATTGAAATCCCTCACTTTGTTGGACGGGATATTTGTTCAGGTCGTCGGACTACTTACATTGTCACAATGAAGACAAATACCGAACAGGCATATTTCAATCTATCTGACCGATTAATTTATTCATCGGTTTTGTATTCAATATTTTCATTGAAAAAATCACTAGTGAAAAGATATCTATAACTGCAGTGAAAAATAACACTTTTGTTCTAAGAGCAATTCTCGTCATCGATAAATACCAGACAAATGGTGAAAGAGGAATGAATTTAACGTGGGTTAAGATATAATTTATTATCAATCTCATATTTCTACAATTCTGTTAAATCGTGTTTGCCATTAAATTACATTTAAGAAATGATATAACATTGAATTATCAAAAACACTAAAACACTAATAAAACAGTGCCCAGAGAGCAACCGAGCATGTGATAACAAAGAGGTTATAGCTATCTCTGTCTAGCGAAAACTCCGTCTGCTGCAGCATTCAAAATGAAGGGAGAAATATAGCTTACCAAGCCAAGACACAAACGCCCCGTATGGTGATCCTACCCCCGTGGGTTTGGGTACTGAGGCCTTCAACACAACCTTGGCGGTGTCGGGGTGCACCATAGAGAAGTTAGGGAACAGGTTTGTCATCCATGTGACGATAATTCTAGGTTTGTCCTTGTTGACTACCTTCTTCGCTATCACCATCCAGTCATAGGTGTGCTTGAACTACAACATGGACATTCTTGAAATACAAAATGGATGCCATAACTTTGAAAAGTCGCTCAGAAAAACATGTCTTTTAAATTTATTTCATGGAATATTACGTTTAGACAAATGTTTCCAGTCTCATTTATGGAAAAATTGTCTTGCTTTTTAAGTGATGTCCATTTTCAAGGAGAGCGTACAAAACAAATAATGATTTCCAACTTTGACTGAAGAAGGACAGGAGCTCAACATTTTCAATGTGTAATATTCGAGATTTGACAAAACGGATATGTATTTGAATGGGGCCTACAGACAGGATATTTCTACTGTCTATCAGTGCATCACCCATTATGAGTTACATCTGGTCGTGTGAGTTAATTATTATTACGTATAATTTACAATAATAAGTAAATGATCTCACAGCTATAGATACAAATCATAATCGATTATCACGAGTTGCTTGTTTTGTTTCTCTCATAACTTTGTAGTCGAAGTCGCGTGCCCCACTCCTTTCTTCAGAATTCCCTCAAATATCAATATTCTAATACTCGTCATTATAGCTGCATACAACCGGTAAGCGGACTCAAACATGGACATTTATCCACATAAAAATCCTTCCTCTACCAAGTCGTCATTTACAGAAATATTTTCAGAAATATATAAACAGTAACACAAAGTACTGTTCCAAAGAGGCGGCGTCACTGTGTACGACATCTTAGGGAAAGAGATGGTCATTACTGGGTCAAATAGTTGTTTTTATTTGAATGTGACAGTTTCTCATCTCTAACGCGCACTTCTTTAAAATCTACTAATAAAACAACGACTGATCCATTCCGCGAACAGTAAACAGAGATTGATGTGCACGCTCTGGTACCTCCATTGGAAACATTCCAGACTATCTGTATAGTCTCTTACTCAATCAACACGCTTGACAGACGAACGTAATGCATACACAGGTGATTGCACTGTTCAAAGTTTGTAATAAATACAGTAGGCCAAAAAATAATTACACTGCATCAAGGTAAGTTAAACATCTACACCCGTCGTCATCTCCCGTGGTAAGACAATCATCATCGCCAGTTTCATTCACGGACGTCATATACATTCCTAATTTGTCTAGCAGAAGTTGTATACGGACGGACAAAATGATTGACGACAAGAAAACATAACTTATTCATTGAAACAGAAAAATGGCTGGATCTAGACTTCAAGGTCTCAGAAATATGGCCCGATGGATACGGTATAGAAAAGATAGAACATCAAAAGTGTTTGGTGGTCTCCTCATTACAGTAAGAGTACCCATCAACAGAGTTAACAAAGACCACGACATTGACACGAACTGTGATGGGATGTCGATAAAACTGACAACCAGGTGTTAAAAATGTATCCTGCTATCGTAGACATGTGTCGGATGACAGAGCTTAGATGCATGTTCCTTTAAGGAATGCAACACACATCATCCGATATGAGTTCTACTCCCAATGTTCGAACTGTTATAATAATAGTTTAAACCAGAGTTATACAGACAGACAATAGAATTCTCACACCTAGAGTTATACAGACAGTGGCTAGACTTCTCACACCTAGAGTTATACAGACAGAGGCTAGACTTCTCACACCTAGAGTTATACAGACAGAGGCTGGACTTTTCGCACCTAGAGTTATACAGACAGAGGCTAGACTTTTCGCACCTAGAGTTATACAGACAGAGGTTAGACTTCTCACACCTAGAGTTATACCAAGACCAGAGGATACCAAATCATAACAAGTCTGAAAGGAAACCATCCTCCTTTCAAGGGAAGGTGAGAGATTAGTGTAGCAATCATCATTCTCAATACATTGATGGATAGCGGCATTAGAAATAGAAGCAGAAACGGAAAAAAGAAGAAGAAAAAAACCCATGTAGATGCATCAACTTGAATAAAACGACACCAGCAGTAGCAAATAAATCAGGTATGGTCCTTAATATCACGTTTGACCTTTGTGACATTGAACGGTCATTCAAGTTTAAAACCTACAAGGCGCTAAATCCCAGCAAGATTTAAAAGAAATATTATCATTCTCGGCTACATACTTCTGCAGGGGCCAGGTTTTGTAATTCATATCCCATTTACATGACCGTGACAATCGATCAATGTTGCCAATATGAACAAACTTATTCAATACAAGAGACAGTTCGAGAAAACCATAAAACCAGAGACGGACCAAGATATAAACTATGTTATCCGAGACAGTCCGACTTTACAATAATACCAATGACAGTCTGCGATAACCATAAAACGAGAGACAGTTCGAGATAACCATAATACAAGAGCCAGTTGTGGATAACCATAATATCAGAGACAGTTCGAGATAACCATAGTACCGGAGATAGTTCGATCGACATGACTATTATACAAAAGACAGTCGGAGATAATTATATTACCGGAAACGGACCAAGATATAAATCATGTTATCCGAGACGGTCTAACATAACTATAACATAAGACACAGTTAGCGATAGCCATAAAACAAGACACAGTTCGAGATAACCATAATACAAGAGACAGTTCGAGATAACCATAATACAAGAGACAGTTCGAAATAACCATAATGCAAGAGACAGTTTGAGATAACCATAATACAAGAGACAGTTCGAGATAACCATAGTGCAAGAAACAGTTTGAGATAATCATAATACAAGAGACAGTTCGAGATAACTATAATACAAGAGACAGTTCAAGATAACCATAATGCAAGAGACAGTTCGAGATAACCATAATACAAGAGAAAGTCCGAAATGACCATAATATCTGAGATAGTTTGAGATTTTCATAATACCGCCTCAGACAGGATATCTCATGTCAAACCCTGTCACCTTGACGTTATATCAGCGTAAAATTTTACACGGCGATATCTTCTTTCGTACGGCGATATATTTATTCGCACCTTTCAATAAATAAACAGATTGCATTAGATACATTTTTTTCATGAAATGTAATGTTTAACGCTTTTAAATTTACGATAATATATAGATAAATAAAGTTTTATCCACTCTATGGACTAGCTTATACTTAAATTCATATTTTCTTAGAACGGGTTACTTTTTCGCGGAGGTAAACGAGACAGTCCGACTCGACTCGAGCTGAAGAGGATGGAGAAAATAATAAATTACATGTAACTGAGCGAGATCATCCTATTTCAGTTTGTGGCTAAGTTTCTATAACATCACAAGTCTCGGCTTGTACAATTCAAATCGGTTGTGATTATATTTCAGAATCTTGTAATTAGCCCTCGAATGAGATTACCCGATCTCGCTGAGTTACATGTTAAATTCATTAAAAACCCAGAGAAAGTCTGAATACTGCCACCTCCAACAGCATGTCAGATTATCCATCTTCTTTAAACTTCCCTGGTGAAATTAAGTTATATTATCAAACTATCTCGTTGCCGTACATTTTTATCGCTGAAACGTTACCATAACAACGAACACTTTCCCTACATAACCCTCTGTGGCACGGAAAAGGAGGCGTGCGGCCTGTTTAATTTACATAGACAGCGTATGTATAGAGAAGGATGGAAAAGCTTACAGCCACTTAAGTCAGGAATGTCGATTGCGTAGTATCGGAGATACTTGAAAGTTTGTCTAAAATGAAGTGAACGTATTCATCTGTAAATGTGTCATAAGGATCGCATAGTAGATCAAGGACGTTCCCAAGTACATAAACTAAGTAAGGAACATCCCTTAGTACAAAGTTCCGAAGTGCTATGTAATGTATGTCATCGTTGAATAAGTCAGTCCCGAAATATATAACTTTCACAATAGACTTAATTGCTAAGTATATAACTTTCTCATTAGACTAAGTCCCTAAGTATATAATTTTCACATAGGACTAAATCCCCAAGTATATAACTTTCACAGTCGACTAAGTCCCTAAGTATATAACTTTCACAAAGGACTAAGTCCCTAAGTATATAACTTTCAGTTTGGCCAAAGTCCCTAAGTATATAACTTTCACAGAGGACTAAGTCCCTAAGTATATAACTTTCACAGAAGACTAAGTCCCTAAGTATATAATTTCCACAGTGGACTAAGTCCCCAAGTATATAACTTTCACAGAGGACTAAATCCCTAAGTATATAACTTTCACATTATACTAAGTCCCTAAGTATATAACTTGCACCGTAGACTCCGTCCCTAAGCATATGACTTTTTACATATAAATATACATATCAACTTTATTTATTTTACAAGAATTCCAAAGCAAGTTTTTACAACTTATAGGAATCACAATTGTTGGCCCGGATGCTAATGCGAGGGGTTCTTAATGTAGGAGGAAACCGGAGTACCCGGAGAAAACCCAAGTGATCGGGCAGGTGACCCCTCACCTTTTCACGTCCGATCTGGGAATCGAACTCCGACTGCCTTGGGTAAAGGCAATTGCGCTATCTACTGCGCCACCCAACCATACATGACTTTCACAGTGGACTAAATCCCCAAGTATATGTAGTAAGTTTCACAGTGGATTAGCTCCATAAGTAAATGTACATGCAATAACTTTGACAGTGGATCCTCGGATGAGGTCCGTAAGTACATGCAATAATTTCAACAGTGGATTAGCACAGTGTATTAGCACAGTGGATTCGGTCCCTAAGTACATGCAGTAACTTTCACAATGAACTAACACCCTAAGTGCATCAACAATTTTCATAGTGGATAAAGTCCCTTAGTACATGCAATCATTTTCACAGTGGATTAGGTCCCTTAGTACATGCAATCATTTTCACAGTTGATTAGGTCCCTTAGTACATGCAATCATTTTCACAGTTGATTAGGTCCCATAGTACATGCAATCATTTTCATAGTGGAGTAGGTCCCTTAGGACATGCAATCATTTTCACAGTTGATAAGGTCCCTTAGTACATGCAATCATTTTCACAGTGGATTAGGTCCCTTAGTACATGCAATCATTTTCACAGTTGATTAGGTCCCTTAGTACATGCAATCATTTTCACAGTTGAGTAGGTCCCTTAGTACATGCAATCATTTTCACAGTTGAGTAGGTCCCTTAGTACATGCAATCATTTTCACAGTTGATTAGGTCCCTTACATGCAATCATTTTCACAGTTGATTAGGTCCCTTTGTACATTCAATCATTTTCACAGTTGATTAGGTCCCTTAGTACATGCAATCATTTTCACTGTTGAGTAGGTCCCTTAGTACAAGCAATCATTTTCACAGTGGATTAGGTCCCGTAGTACATGCAATCATATTCATAGTTGATTAGGTCCCTTAGGACATGCAATCATATTCATAGTTGATTAAGTCCCTTAGTACATGCAATCATTTTCATAGTGGATTAGGTCCCTTAGTACATGCAATCATTTTCATAGTTGATTAGGTCCCTTAGTACATGCAGTAACTTTTACAATGAACTAATACCCTTAGTGCATGCAACAATTTTCATAGTGGATAAAGTCCCTTAGAACATGCAATCATTTTCACAGTGGATTAGGTCCCTTAGTACATGCAATCATTTTCACAGTGGATAAAGTCCCTTAGTACATGCTATCATTTTCACAGTGGATTAGGTCCCTAAGTATATGCAGTAACTTTCACAATGGACTTAGTCCCTAATATTTTGACAGTGGAATGGGACAGTCCTGAAATGTAAAATATTTCGCAGGAAACGAAATGACATCCATAAGTGCTCTTCACAAGTGTTAAAAATATATATGAAACCAATTTCAGAGTCAGGATGATCTCGGTTTAAATGTCCAGTAAGATTAAAGAGACGTGGTATTGCATTAATATTATTGTTTATTGAAATAGATTGTGAACAAACGGAATGCGCGTACGTGGTCCGATTCCGAACGATGTCGATTCAACGACTGACTGGAATATACACCTTTGGTTTTAAAAACTAGTTAAGGAATTCACAACGTGACAATCAAACGTTGCTTTATATTGATATGCTTTCATATACATATTTTCAATTTCATGTGTATTACTTTTAAACAGTTTATACGTGTGTGGGTCGTACGGGGAGAGCATTGCATTCTTTACGAGGAGGTCCAATATATAGGTATTTAAACTAGCTACACTATGATGGTGGCTCTCGCGAGGAGGCCAAATAACATTTACAATCTGGAACGAGATTATATGAACCATGTTGATAGTTTATGTAGGTTTCACTTTAAAAACAAAGTTATGCACCAACAAGTGCGCTAATTTCTATGAGTTCTTCTGTCGCAAGATGCGGAAGAAGATGAAGAAAAAGGTCGAGGTAGTTTACTCACCAGATGCAGGTTGCCCCAGACAGGATGGAGCGGACCGATATTCTGAAACTGTCTCGCTACTCTGCACCAGCCTCGGTACCGTACATTGAACTTGACCAATTTCCACACAACCACAGCCAGGACAGTGGCCAATACCAGCTGGACAATCCACCAGCTATCCATTCTTTATGGTCTCTTTCGTAATTTAAGTTATTTTGTGTGTGATCAACTGTCAGTCAAAGCCAGCATAGTTTAGTAACAGGAAACACTCGCGCCGTCTGAAACATACATGTACGCTAATTAGTATACACTAAATAACAAAATCACCATTATATCATTGTAACCAATTGTGTTTTTTAGGTAATGTATGTCCTTATCTGACCTCGTAGATAATAGTTTAATGGTGTGGCGGTGTAATCCAGACTATAGACATATGATATAGCCTTTATCACAGACACTTAAATGCACGTTGTAATTTCTGTAAAACTTCAATCATTGATATACCGAATTAATATTCGCTTCCCGAAGAACCGACTTGTGATAAGGTTCCGTACATATGAACTAGATAAAACACACGTACCTTCCTTAGCCCGACTTTCCTCTGACCCTAACACCAGACTTAGACATTTTGACATCTATAGAAAACTCGGGCTAGTACCTTCCTATTATTTGATTGATGGGGTTTTACGTTCTTGTGTAACATCCTAGGAATATGAGTGGGACTACGGCTAGATTTTTCAGGGCCCGCCCTCAGCGTCGACAAAATAGGTACAGCTTGTAAGTGATGATTGGTTTGTTATTTCTATAAAAAAAATCATCATCATGTACCATCCTATCGTATATCATATATATATAAACAATCCGGTAGTGCCTATATAACACATATCGTGGTCTGGTTAACTACTAGGAGTGTGAGATGGTGATCGAAGAGTATCCACTACGTCTCATACAGTGTCCATTTCCGGGTTTTGAAGGATGCCGCATGTGGTGCCAGCTCTTTCCCTTTCTAGAGTATATAGTGCCCACCTCTTATTGGTTTTGAGTTTGTCCTGTGTGTTGGTGCAGTGGTATGTATTATCCTTTCGTATTTTACTTTGTAAATGTAGTTTCATCAGCATTCAGCTGTCTTCTTCAATTGACTCAATTATCCTCGTCTCCGTGATGTTTGTTGAAAAGAGGTCAAATACTACCTAACATGTGGAGCATACAGTTACAAACTCCACAGATCACATATAATAGTATAACCGGTGTGAACGTAAATTAGCAATCTTCATAAAATACACACACACGTGATAACAGACAGGTACATTTGTGTGTAACAAGTATACGTACTCACCTTTCCACTCGTGCTCGTAAGGCTGTGTCGGTTTGTCTAAAAATAAAAGATGAAGTGAACCCGTTAGAAATATTGGTGCGTGTATAAAGCAGACCTCGCTTACAAAGGCTCACATCGGGAAAGCACGTATACCTGCGTACAGATGATATAGGGTAACAATACTACAATATCAATTCCAGGTCACGTTATGTGCCGTGTGTGTGTGACACGGGCACACACTCCTCTGTCAGAGGTCAGAGGCATACAGGGTGTGGGTGGAGTGAGGCTTAAGAAAGAGTACACTGTACGTTTGTGTGGTTTAATATCGGAAATGTTAAGCGAGTGGTATTGAGTGCATGGTTATGAACAGCATCGTGGTTCGTCGCTCGGCAGGGACATTGGTCATGTCTTTTAAATAAAAAATATATAAATATTGTTATGAAATAAGCAAACAATGTAACAAAGATAGGGTCAACGCCTATGGAGATTTAACATTAGCTTCGGCCCCCACTTGGAATTTCAAAACAAGATAAATCCGAAAAGGTATGGGTATAGGAAGCTTCATTTGATGATAATTGGGACCTCCTTGACTTAAACCTGTGTGGGTGTTAAAGGTGCAGTAATTCAATTCCTCCTAGAGCATTTAAATGGCACAATTACTATAAAATTATATCATCATCGTGTGCAACGTATTTCAACTATTATTTTGATACCTAATATTACACTATTTCAATAAAGAATTGTTCTTTTTATTTAAGATTTAAGCAGGAAAATTTGTGAAATTTCATTTCTAATGAGAAATTTTCCATTTTTGACACGTTAATTCATATAGTTCTAAAACTAGTCTATTTTTCTTACTTGTTAAAAAGTTGGCTACCAATAATATCGTTCAACATCAGGAATTTCAAAAAAAAGATGAACACCGGTAAATTTGCCGTATACTACTTTTGGTTCAAAAAAAGAAAAACAAAGCGTTCTTTCCACATTTCCTTTAACTTGTGTTTCTTCATGACTAAAGGTCCTTGGGTGTTGATATTTGGCAAGTAGGTTGTTCATGTAAATGAGTTTAAGTGTTGTTAATTTTGACGACCAAATGTGCCGAAATATTTTTTTTGTATGGGGAGTCAGACAAGAGTATCTTTCCTTGCTTTATTTGTTTAGAGTGAACGATATAAAATAGTGTAATATCCTTTAATATTTTGTTTAATGAATGGTAAAAAGGCAACAAAAATAATAACTAGAACTGTAAGCCAAAGACTAACTAATACCCCCGCTCTTATATAAACCAGAACTGTAATCTAAAGGCTAACTAAAGCAAAGCATTGCAAATTAATCCATAGTCTCCCACCAGTAATTATGTATGGACATACTTCTTGTACTCCCTCCCCATGCCAAAACATACTTTCATACCACATCTTGTTAGCCTAGATGACCCACTTTTTCTGAAATGCAAAACATCAGGGGGTAATTACCATATCTGTAAACTTTCATGAAAATGGCCCAGACGTTTATGAGACAGACAAAGGTTTTTTTTTAAAGAAAAGGTCCTTTTTAAAAGGTTGGAATAAAAACATACTTCTTGGATGCACAATGGCAGGGGGCAGTTAACATATCTGTAAACTTCCGTTGAAATTGGCCCCATAGTTTTTTGGAGGACAAAACCGGACAAGGATTTTTCAACACAAGGCCATAACTTTGAGGGAAAAAAGGTTAGAATGAAAAAATGATACCTGGATGCACAACTTCGGGTGTTAGTTATCATATCTGGAAACTTTCGTTGAAATTGGTCCACTACTTTAGAATGAGTTGACAGATAAACGGATAGACACGCTGATTCCAGTATACCCCCACCCCTTCCACCCCCCCCCCACCCCTAACTTCGTTGCGGGGGTTTAATAAAGTGTATAATAGTTTTGTTATTAAGATTATTTTATTATTTTTAGATGATTGCATAGCTTTGTCTATAACACAATCTCAAACCTAAAGTAGTTCTCCAGAGGAAAGATTACTATGACAGAATACTTATCTATGAGTTATTACTGCTGCACATAACTTGAAAACATGCCTAACATAATAAAATGTTTTAGTATGATACAAAAACAGAAAATGTTTCGGTATTTATCATAATAAACATTGATGGTCAAATCTTCAAGGTTATGTGAAATTGGGCATTGATCATGTTTGGCATGCTAAAAAGTACTTAACCGGTTTTGATAGTACATACAAATGATTCTGTTGACAGAATACATATATAGGAAGTTTTTAAAGAAGTTTAAAATATAGACTACCATTGTAACTATATAAAGGCAAGTTGACAATGTTAGTTTTATTTTAAATTTTGTGAACATTTTGCATGTTTTTCCAATTAAAAGTATCACTACGCTTACTTTATGTCTACCAATATGACATATTTAGTATCAAAATAACAGTAGTTTTATACACTATACACTATCATAATTCATTTCGAAATTAACATTTGCCTGTGATATTTATCGGTCATTTTGTAAGGATACCCTCGTCACTCAACCTGGTGTTATGCAAGGAGGTCCACTACGGTTATCAGTAACAATTATGAATAATCATTAGAATAAAGGAAATCAAAGTGGGGGCCAAATGTTGACCCCACCTTTGTATTCCAAACGCAGGTACATGTAGCCTTTTTATCAATATAAAATAAATTCTTCATCCGACCACAATTGTATATTTAAGTAAACGAACCTTGCTTCCAGCGTAAAAAGTGCATGTACTCAAATAACTATATTTTAATGACATGCCGATAAATTGTCGAAAAGAACCCCACGATTGAAAGATAACATCATAACATTTGAGACGGTGCCACGTTCATAGCTGAAACAAAAATCCCAAACCGCTTTACTTTTCAAATTACTGAAGGAGGATAATTTAGTAAGATATTTGGACATGGAAAATAATGAAATGTAAATATAGATGCCAACACGATTATTGATATACATTCAAAAGCAAGTACTTATTTTTAAACTTAGCTACTAGTCGCTAACCACCAAAGTTACCCGCTTATCAAACACTGGAACTGGATAATTTTCAACTGGAACTGTCGCCAGGATGGCTGACTAATACCCCCCGCTTCCCCATCTAGTCTGATTCCCAATTTGGCCGAAACACTTGTTAATAAATATAAAAAGGGGAAAATAGCAGATCAAAAAGTAATCAAAGTTGTGCGTGTACATGTGTGCGGAGTACATAATTTCGAGAAGTTTGCATGAAAATTGTCGGAAGAGTTCTCAAGAATGACGAAAAAATCTCAGGCAATGTTCTTCACATGATGTACAATCTCAGGCAATGTTCTCAACATGATGTAAAATCTCAGGCAATGTTCTGTACATGATGTAGAATCTCAGGTAATGTTCTCAACATGATGTAAAATTTCTGGCAATGTTCTCAACATAATGTAAAATCTCAGGCAATGTTCTCAACATGATGTTAAATCTCAGGCAATGTTCTCAACATGATGTAAAATCTCTTGCAATGTTCTTAACATGATGTACAATCTCAGGCAATGTCCTCAACATGATGTAAAATCTCAGGTAGTGTTCTCAACATGATGTAAAATCTCTTGCAATGTTCTTAACATGATGTACACTCTCAGGCAATGTCCTCAACATGATGTAAAATCTCAGGCAATGTTCTAAACATGATGTAAAATCTCAGGCAATGTTCTCAACATGACGTAAAATCTCAGGCAATGTTCTCAACATGATGTAAAATATCGAGCAATGTTCTCAACATGATGTAAAATCTCAGGAAATGTTCTCAACATGATGTAACATCTCAGGTAATGTTCTCAACATGATGTAAAATCTCAGGCAATGTTCTGTACATGATGTAAAATCTCAGGCAATGTTCTGTACATGATGTAAAATCTCAGGCAATGTTCTCAACATGACGTAAAATCTCAGGCAATGTTCTCAACATGATGTAAAATCTCTTGCAATGTTCTTAACATGATGTACACTCTCAGGCAATGTCCTCAACATGATGTAAAATCTCAGGCAATGTTCTGAACATGATGTAAAATCTCAGGCAATGTTCTGTACATGATGTAAAATCTCGGGCAATGTTCTGTACATGATGTAAAATCTCAGGCAATGTTCTGTACATGATGTAAAATCTCAGGCAATGTTCTGAACATGATGTAAAATCTCAGGCAATGTTCTGTACATGATGTAGAATCTCAGGTAATGTTCTCAACATGATGTAAAATCTCTGGCAATGTTCTCAACATAATGTAAAGTCTCAGGCAATGTTCTGAACATGATGTAAAATCTCAGGCAATGTTCTGTACATGATGCAAAATCTCAGGTAATGTTCTCAACATGATGTAAAACCTCTTGCAATGTTCTTAACATGATGTACAATCTCAGTCAATGTCCTCAACATGATGTAAAATCTCAGGTAGTGTTCTCAACATGATGTAAAATCTCTTGCAATGTTCTCAACATGATTTAAAATCTCAGGCAATGTTCTCAACATGATGTAAAGTCTCAGGTAATGTTCTCAACATGATGTAAAATCTCTGGCAATGTTCTCAACATGATGTAAAATCTCAGGAAATGTTCTCAACATGATGTAAAATCTCTTGCAATGTTCTTAACATGATGTACAATCTCAGGCAATGTCCTCAACATGATGTAAAATCTCAGGTAATGTTCTCAACATGATGTAAAATCTCTTGCAATGTTCTTAACATGATGTAAAATCTCAGGCAATGTTTTCAACATGATGTGAAATATCTCAAGCATGATATTAATTTTCAAGAATGGTATTAACTACTATTACAAAACCAAACCATGCGGTAATACGATACCCTAGAATGTAAATAGAAAACTGAACATGCGTAGCGTCACCCACGGAGATCAACGAAAAACACTTTTATACGTTTCAAGTTTCGTAAAACCAATATAAAATGGGTGGAGTATATATCGCGATTATTAAGAAATGTAAACCACAGGGACCTTAGAATTGGTTACAGCTATATTTTGACTTAAACTAAGGTGTTCAGAGTAATTTCACAGTTTTGTCGCAGTCAGCCTGCCATTTTTTTTAAATATTAATGAGGGCGCGTGATTAAACATACAGTGTTGGTTGGTTTAGCGAAAAATGGCTACACTTCCAGCCGATCACACCACGGGTCTCGGTATGTTATAAATGCTCCGTAAAAAATCGTTTGATGCAAGTCAATTCAATAATTGTATTGCTCATTGATAGTTACAGAGTAACTTGAAGGCAAATAACAAAACAACAAGTATACAAAGAAACTGCCATAGTGAACAATATAGACACTTACACAGAAGCCAGGCCCACACTCCTCGGTTCAAGTGACTGTTTTATATTTAAGTCAAGTCAAGTATAATTTGCATATTATCAGAAGATAAAAATGAGTTAAAGTATTTGTGTCTAGTATAAAATAGTTTTGAATATATTGACTTATATAGTCCTTTCTCAGCTGTGCATTATAGCCACACCTAAAGAAGAAGTGTTCCTCATCGTCTAGAACAAGACAGTTTCTACATACTATTTGCTCTCTAGGTTTTTTTCTTGAGATTCATGTTGCTAGTTCAAGGTTATGTTCACACAATCTGAATTCTGTAAACAACATTCTGAGGTTTTTATTAGTGATAGATAGGTATTTTTCTTGGGCGTTTTTTTTCTTAATATCTTTATACGAGAATAATTTATTTTTATCCGTCATCGATTGTAGTTTCCTGTTAAAGTTGGTTTCAAATTCTTTAAAAATGCTAGTTATAATTCTATGAGAAGCACTCTGTGAGGATTTCGAGGCACAGCAATATTGCTAAATCAAAGTTTCACACCATGTCACAATACTTTTGAACGACGGCTTCAGTTGATTTTACAAGTTCACATATGAGGCATTTCTCCGTCAAAAACTCCATATCTGATATAATGGCCTGAAGGAATTCGGTCTGTAACCTGCGAACAGACAACGATACAGCCACTGACCACACATGGTGATGCTGACAAATCGAGAGGATACCCTATGTCAACATATCTACATAATGTAGCTTTTGATCGTACATAGAACACAGATCATCAGCGTTAACAAATTAACTTGTTATTGAGTACATATTTAACGTGTCACATTGTAATTGGGTCCGCTGGTGTTCGTACATAGAAAGGTTTTCACAGATGATGTCTTACAATTATTCTGAACCCATTGCTTCCTTGCATTTTATCTACAAACATACGCTACAACAGCTGGTTTGGAAGACTCCCCCATCAGCACGTCCCTGCACCATATCCCCATACAACTATAGGGTCCAGCTTGACATGCAGCACCCTCGATATCCAGGAGTTACGCTCACTTTCACTCCCTACACCCATGGAGTATGTCATAGCAAAATTAATGAGTCGGTGTGCGCCACCTTGTTGATGAGACACGAAGACTAGTTCGATCATTTGATATGTACATCAAAAGAATCTCGCGGTCACGTACCGGTAAAAATTGACAGGCTTTGATTTGAAGTCGGGCGTCTCTCCTTTGTAATCTTCAAAGGACATGTATCAGCCTAGCGATTGGTCAGGTTTTTTTTTACCTGAGACCAATCAAACAGCTTTCTTCGTGCCTTCAATTTTGCTATGACATATTTCAGAGGTATAGAGAGCAAAAGTGGGCGTAACCCCTGGATATCGAGGATGACAGTCTAGATATTATCCAGAATGCAAATCTACGAGAACTTTCCGTGAAAGGTCCTTAGTGTCGAGAGATTACTACTAACAACTGGAATGTTCATTTCAAGTTACTGATGGATTCTGGGGAAATATTTGCCGATGGACAAAACAAGAGCTTGAAGTGTATGATTAACTGTTAGACCACAGACTTAGATAGCTCATTCCGTGGTCAGACGGATCAAACCATTATAAAAACATTTGGCAGCTTGTAAATCAAAAATGAAAACAAAACACAAGCCTGTATTTTTTTAATTCCGAAATCTTAACCACAATCAACGATCTACATAATAGGTATGCTGATTGTTTGTTTTTAAGTATAATCCTTTGCTTGATTACCAAGCCAGTCCTGACTACACATTTTCCATTTTAGAGACGAAATACTAGCTGATCAATCTTCTGTAATACGATCTTACCAAATACCAATATCTTTGTGGTTGGGTTCGACGGCAATATTTTCCAGCGGACTGTATACATTCCAACGAGGCAGACTTTGTCCCTATTGTAGCTGGCTTGATTTTGCTTTCTTATGGGGCTGAATTTTTTGATTGGTTTATCAGGTCTGACAACAAAATCGTAGCCAAACGCATCGTGAACTTTCCATTTCTTTATAGTAACCGCCTAGCTTCCTAAAATATTCGGTGAAAGAACTTTCCCCAAACATAACGGCTTCCCTGATAGATGTTGACTGCTGACGGACAAACTTACAGCACAGGGTTTACAAAGACGAGGTTGAGGAATTAGGACATGTATACATTTAATGCAGTCATTCTGATATAACATGGAAATATGCTACAGGTATTTTCTTTTAAATGTCTATGTTTTTCACTATGTTCATTAGTGTGCCTTGTTATTTCATTGTTAATACTCCGTCGATGAAGCAGAAGACGCTTATCCTTCCGGAACACCTGATCTTATTATCCTTATAGTTTTCAATAAACTCCATGTAAAGATTTCCTTTGGTTTAAACAACATTTTATTTACAATTATGCAGTACATAATATAAAAAATATATGTGCATCTTGTCATCGTTAATATGTTCATCTTGTCATCGTTAACGTGTTCATCTTGTCATCGTTAATATGTTCATCTTGTCATCGTTAATGTATTCATCTTGTCATCGTTAATGTGTTTATCTTGTCATCGTTAATATGTTCATCTTGTCATCGTTAATGTGTTCATCTTGTCATCGTTAATATGTTCATCTTGTCATCGTTAATGTATTCATCTTGTCATCGTTAATGTGTTTATCTTGTCATCGTTAATATGTTCATCTTGTCATCGTTAATGTGTTCACCTTGTCATCGTTAATATGTTCATCTTGTCATCGTTAATATGTTCATCTTGTCATCGTTAATGTGTTCATCTTGTCATTGTTAATATGTTCATCTTGTAATTGTTAATATGTTCATCTTCTCATTGTTAATATGTTCATCTTGTCATCGTTAATGTGTTCATCTTGTCATTGTTAATGTATTCATCTTGTCATTGTTAATGTATTCATCTTGTCATCGTTAATGTGTTTATCTTGTCATTGTTAATATGTTCATCTTGTCATCGTTAATCCCTTCATCTTGTCATCGTTAATGTGTTTATCTTGTCATTGTTAATATGTTCATCTTTTCTTCGTTAATGTGTTCACCTTGTCATCGTTAATATGTTCATCTTGTCATCGTTAATCCCTTCATCTTGTCATCGTTAATGTGTTTATCTTGTCATTGTTAATATGTTCATCTTGTCATTGTTAATGTATTCATCTTGTCATTGTTAATATGTTCATCTTGTAATTGTTAATATGTTCATCTTGTCATTGTTAATGTATTCATCTTGTCATTGTTAATGTATTCATCTTGTCATCGTTAATGTATTCATCTTGTCATCGTTAATGTATTCATCTTGTCATCGTTAGTATGTTCATCTTTTCATCGTTAATGTATTCATCTTGTCATCGTTAGTATGTTCATCTTTTCATCGTTAATGTATTCATCTTGTCATCGTTAGTATGTTCATCTTTTCATCGTTAATGTATTCATCTTGTCATCGTTAGTATGTTCATCTTGTCATCGTTAATGTATTCATCTTGTCATCGTTAGTATGTTCATCTTTTCATCGTTAATGTATTCATCTTGTCATCGTTAATGTGTTTATCTTGTCATTGTTAATATGTTCATCTTTTCTTCGTTAATGTGTTCACCTTGTCATCGTTAATATGTTCATCTTGTCATCGTTAATGTGTTCACCTTGTCATCCTTAATATGTTCATCTTGTCATCGTTAATATGTTCATCTTGTCATCGTTAATATGTTCATCTTGTCATCGTTAATGTCCTAGAGAAAGTGAATGATGGGCGGATGAGCACATCTCAAAAGCTTAACAATGTGTGGTTGGAAATGTATAAAACAGATAGATAAATGTTTTAAAATTGATTTATTTACATTTAAATAGATGTACAGGTAAATACAATATGTATCTGTGTCATCAACACAGAGTGTACCACATGTACAAAATATCACAGACAATACACATCACTGTGTTATCTCCCTTTCTCACTTATTTACAGAAATTCAGCATAAAAGTTATGCTTTTTTCATACATGTATATAAATACTGTTAAGAAAAACAGCTCAAGTGCTTTTGTATTTGAATAAATGGGTCGTGGTCATTCTGAAGATATTTCTAATGTTTAAAACATTTTACTGCTACATCATCTATCAGGAAAGATCCTTCCTGAGCACTTATGTAAAAGTTCTCCACAGTGTGAAATAGAACTGTTTCTTACATATATATTCATGATGTTAATTTTCATTTCTTCAGTAAAACAGCACTGGAATGTTTTTGTTGGTTGATTTTTAATGTAAATGTTTTCTTGGTTGACACTGTTCACAACGACTAAGAGTGGAGCACGTGCTTGACCACATGTGCGGCCTCCACTACTGTCTGGGCGACAGGGCGACGCACACGGGGGTCCATCACTGGAACGTTCAACCTGGGAGAAAACAAGACATTTTTGTTTTATACCTATTTAATCAAGACATATTCAGAATTTTATGTTTTAAATCAAAGTCTAAAATTATGGTTACATAATATATGAAGAACTATTTAAACAGGTAAAACAAATACTTCAAGAAAGATATACTTCAGATTTAGTTTTAACATGGACTTAGATAGCGTCTTATCTAATTCTGTTTAACAAGCAAAGCCGTGCACATCATATAATTTTGTTTCAAAACAAAAAGTACGGTAAAACCTTGTTATGCTGCCAGCATTTGTCTACAGAAATTTTGGGGCTGTAAAGGGGTTTGGCAATATATTGAGGGAAATGTATAAAGGAATTCTTAAGAACAAGAGAAAAAGGGATATTGAAATATGTTGGTGGTAAACGAGATGGCAAATCTAACGAAGGGCGTTATATCAAGGTTTTACTTTACATTGAATAGTTGATTAGTACATACTTGACGTTTGTTTTGTTGTTGACGATGAAGAGTGGATTGACCTGGCTAAGGATCTCGTCGTTGACAGAGATACCGTCCAGGTACTGTTTGAGGAGGGTCCTAAGCTGCTGGTTCTCCTGAACTAATCCCTGCTTCTCCTTATCCAGTGCAAGTTTGTCCAGCATAACTTTGTTAAACCGCTTCCAGAAATTCTCCAATGAGGTGTACTCATGCATAATCTATGAAATAAAGGTATGATAACAGCTGACCTTTTTACACATGAAACGTTTAAATTTAACGATTGTACTATTGGACATTAAACTGGAATACCTGCCATTTTCAACTTCTCATAATCATTACATGTTTACAAGGTCAAATAATAAACTGCAAACATTTTTTTAAAAGCAATTTGTATCAGGTTTGTGAATGAGGGGTGTAGATGATTATAAACTATGCACAAATACAAGTTCAAAACATGAGGTTAAGACTTAGTATCACAATTGTGTACAGCTGTAGAAGAGCTTTATTGATATTCCAACTTTTACACACTCATACATTAGATGCAGACAAATTTGAAATTGTTCTCATTTACAGAAAAGGTTCTGATCATTATAAAATTCAATTCACACCCCTACAAGAGAATCAGACAATCTTAAATCTGTATAAACCTGCACAAGATTTCAGATAAGAAAACCTACTCCTCAGTTATTAATACCGTTATCATATCATTCTGTACACTTGTTACACAGTTCTCACCTGTACAAGTGGCTCGTTAGCCTGCTCTAATATGGCTGCCTCGACATCCTCCACCTCCTCCTTTGTGAGTGACGTGGCGTAGAACGGCAGCACCTTCTCCTCCTCCGTCTCTAGTTTCCTACACATCTCTGCCACCTTCATTATACTCTCCACCTGTTCATAACACAACGTTCAAATTTAACAACTTTTATAAAATGAGAAGTCAGAACTTATACTAAGATTTTTTCATAGGCAAACAATATCATATGAAAAAGAAAATAAAATTTATAGAAAACTTGTATTTGGATACAATTGTCATCTCATTCTCTGGCTGACATGTAATAAATCCAATATTTTTTTGCACCTTCATCATGTACAGACTTAAAACAGCTTTTATATTATGAGTCTTCTAAACTGATCAGGAAGTGGTCTTGGTGATGTCCTTGATACTAGTACCATTAGAATATGAAAGTGGATATGAAGTATATCATATTGTGTACATGGAATAAAGCTACTAGGATATTCTATCCTTTGGAACTACTAATAGGGTAACACCTTTGGCAGTCAGAGCTTCAAGTTTTTACTCTCAGGTTGAACCTTAACCTCTATTAATGGTACAGTTTAAGATAGTGGATATAAATTCACCTTCTCCCTTTGTCTCTTGAGCTCCTTTATACTAGCGTTACTCTCTAGGGTCAGTTTGGTCAGTTTGTCCCTCTCGCCCTCTCTCATTTTGTTCATTTGAGCCTTGAGTTCCTGGAAGTGTGCCAGCATCTTCTCCCTCTCCTGTAATACAGTGGTATAACGTAAGAAACACATAGGTAATTGCATCATTAAACTTTGGGTAGTATACAGTAATTACCTTACTGACACCAACAGCTTCTCTCCTAACATTTTTTACTGTGAAATAAGTGACACATTTACTTAGCGTTGTCTCCCACTTAAAAGTTATAAATACGCCCAATAGCTCCATAAAAAATTGGGATAAAATGTAAAATATCAAATATTTTGACACATCTCAGACAATACTACGGGGAAATGTTTATCTTTAACTTAATAACAACAGGACGTGCAGTAATATTTGGTGAACTAAATTGTTTACATCTGCAAATCCAATTATTTTCAAGGAATAGAAATATCTTACATGTATAGCCACCTGGATAGACCATAACTAGGGTAGTTTGTGTTTGGGTGAATGGCAATCTCTGACCTGAAACATACCTCTTTGATTTGCTTGTTTCTTTCCTCACATTCTTTTGCATTTGCTGACATCTTTCCTTTCAGCTGGGCTATTTGGTCCTGTTTGGAAGAGAAAATTATGATTGCAACCTGTATTCATTTTTCATTTAATTGTTTGCCATGAAAATCTCTCAAAAGTTGTAGTTAACTTTTAGAGAAACCTATATTTTACACATGACTTTCACTGACCCAGAATCTGTAGATTCTTCTTTTTCATGTTTTGAATAAACTTTAATATATATATAGTTTGAGAAAGCACTGAACATACACCAATTTCTAGATAACTGAGAGGTTCGTTCTTAAAACCATAGCAGGATGGTATAGAATTTCCTTTTCAAAGTACATTGTACACATGCAGATTTTGAAAATCTTAAGTACTTTCATCATAAATATGGAAACTTTTCATTGGCCTGAACATCAAATCTACTAGTTAGTCCTGGCATCATAGGACTAAAGTGTGAATCACAATCATAATGATCCTGGCATTAGGATAGTAATTAACTCTTTTACTCCTGAAATTTCATAATGAACTATTCCAACTTTTGAGTTGGAAGAGTTCAAATGTGTATTCAAGGGTAAATGAGTAAACATAAAACAAAACATGTTTTCATACTACTACAATATGTGACACTCAGGGAGGGATCACACTTACTGATATTCTCTGGAGTCTTCTCATCTGGGTATCAATTTCTTTCGCAGATTCATCATCTTTTTTCTTAAGTGTCTCAAACGCTGTCTTCCTTTCCTCTGTTGTTTCATTGTAATTTTTCAGGGCCACTTTGAACTGAAGCCACAGATTCTCCACCTTATCCTGTAGTGTGTGTCGCAGCCCATGCTTCTCCTCCATGTCCTGATGGGTAAGATATTTTTATCAAATCGTTTATGCCAGACTTTACCATAATATCCTCCTCACCAACATATATATACTGTCTTCTTTTTTGTGTACTGAAGGTAATTATTATGGACAGGTTGCAATATTTGATCTGATTGTGCAGTGTCTATCTGTCAAAGTTGTCCTTATTTGGTGGTAGGACTATAGAATACTTGGACTAATCATGTACCACAGATTTTTTGAGCACATGAAATATATATATATATTCACCTTTAAGTAGATACGTTGTTTATATCATCAAGAAAGAAAAAAACACAACTCTACCTTATTTCTGATTTCATCCCTTAAACTGTGGAACTCGGCTTTAGCTTCAGCTTCTTTCTCATTGAAATTCTGTTCCATGGCGAATAAAATATCTGCTATATCATTATTCTCCACATTGTGTTGGTCGACCATGATGGCGCGTTCAGTGTCGAATTCCTCGCGGACGATGGCAAGTTCCTCATCATATTCTCTATGTAATGTTTCCAGTCTCTCCTTCTGTAAATCTGTTCAAACACTTGGGAGTTAACAAAATTGTAAAACCTCACAAATCCTGACCTGGAACTAGTAAGTTTCCCATTGACTGCCAGGGTCAATGATTTACCACAAAATAAATAGATCTATAGAAGAATCTTAACCCATAGATTATTTATTGTTGGAAGCATGTGGATGACCAGTTTCTGATTTTTTACTTTTGAATGATGCAGTGTATAATATATATGTGACTGGTTGATGAGAAAAATGAGATATATATATAGCCACATTTTTTTTTCAAAAATAAAATTTAAAAAGTTTCCAAATAGAAAAATACAGGTATTCAATCTTAAAGATTAGATTCTTTTTCAGAATCTTTTCTGTTGTTGCCTTCTTAAGTCTCATGAGCAGCACAGAATGATCATATTAAAACAGCTGTCAATTTTCAGGTTTATATTTCCAAAGGTATAAAAGGTCCATGTCACCATCTCTCTACAAGCTAATTATGACTGTATTACATAAAAATCAACGGGGGTTAATTATAAAGTGTTTGACTACTAACTGTGTGTCAAACAAATATATGTTTAATAAGAGAATTACCGATAAGATTGTCAACATTCTGTAGATGACTACGCAGAGCCATGGCGTACTGTTCCTCGGCTTCCTGGAGGTCTTTGGCCAGAGATTTGATAGTAGCATCTTTTCTATCCACAATTCTCTCAAAGGTCTGACTTAGAATCTCAATGTCTTTTTTCAGCTCTTTAGATTTAGATTCCCTCATAATGTTCCTCCATTGATGGTTCAGTTTGTTCATATTAAACTTTGTTGCTCTTTCCTCCTTGGTTAATTTGTCCTGTAATAATAAATGCAAATGAACATGTCTTACTTGATAATCTATGAAAGAGTACCAAGTTTGTATATTTTCTTTCCAAAATGAAACAAAAAGACCCAATCCTAAATTAACAAAAACAGTTTCTTATGGGACAAGAAGAGAAAAACTATCTCAGTTTATCACTACTTGTGTCCGTCTTTTTGATTTGGTGGCAACGTTTTTTTTGAAATTTAAAACTATTTCTTCATTCAAACTGAAAAGGTTCAATGCAAATGTCAATTTCCTTGTAATTTATAATTGTTGAAATGCTGTTCTTATTTTGAAATTCTATCAAATGTTCAATTTAATGTGGTTTTAGTATTGCCTGTGATTTCCTGAAAAAACTTGGCAGGTGTACTTGTAAAATGACATACTGTAAGGACTTTTGGAAATTAATATAATCTTTGCTATCATCGCAAAACCTGAAAAAGGACCTTTTAGGTGTTATCTAATTACACATTGATCTGAGTCTTCATTTTATTTACCTTCAGAAACTGTGTAAGCATATCTTCCTTCTTTTTCTTCATTTCTTCCTCAGCTAAACGTTTGTTCTCTTCGTATGCAATTCTCTCCTCCTCTGTCATCTTGGACAGCTTGCCCGACTTTTTTGACTTCTTTTTAGGCATATTGGTTTTTTTCTGGAAGGCATACCAAACATCATTTAAAGCTCAATATAATGTAAGTCACACATCACCTGTCAAACTTTTAAGATATTTTATCATTGGGGGAACTGTTTCTGTCCATTACCACGTACATTACTGCATGCATACCTAACGTTTGTTAGCAGTAGGACTGCAACGATATATTAACATGACAATACTATACATATTGTGATACTGCAGTCATGGTACGATACATATCACAATACATATTGTAACAGTAGAAGCAAAGAGAAAAGATATGTTGCAAATTATTAATGGCAATATTTCAACTGGAAATAGACTAGGTCAAAAATGGTCATGACTTTAAAGTTTCACATATTTCATTTTTTTCAACGTGCATGTTGAGCTGGAACTGTCACTCACAATATGCATGTTGAACCGATATGAGTAGACGAAATTCAGAAATGACAAAATCCTGAAAATATTGTATGTGTATCGTAACCTCCAAAAAACTATTTTGTATCGTACTGTATTTAACTATTCGTGATGTATTATTGTGCAATATAACATTGTAGCCCTTGTTATCAGTTTTTTGGTGGTGATGGTAAACATTTAGTTTACGCGTCCGTGAGGATGATGAAGAAAATGAGGGGAAAATACTATTGCTATATCTGAAGAAAAGTAGACTTCCTTCTATTGTGTACTATAAGTAGACAGGCATAGAAACTGGACACCTAATTGCGTCGTTAAATAATGAAAACGGGATCTACTTGCTATTATAGACAAACGAAAGTGACTGCAAACTGACTACTCAAGTTAAATCATCTAGACTAAAAACAACGTGAAGTACGTTGCTGTTTAATTTATTCTTTCATTTTAACTTCAAGGCTCAGAAACTGTTCCTCAGACGCCAATATTGTAACTGTCAACCGAAAATCAACAAGAATATGATAACTAAATCAATTTCAGATTCCCTTAGTCAGCTATCGGTAGTTTCACCTCCTCGCAACAGTGTGACAGTATCAAGATATTATTCGCTTTGAAGCTGACATCATAACGTCTATCAAGACAAGACGACGACAGTTTTGAATATCCTATTCATTCAACTATGTCTATTTTCACAAACAAACCTTAGAACTGTACAAATGGGACGACAAGAATTCCTTTTGTAAAACACAGCCTCAACTATTTTGATGGTAACCACTGGATACTAAACTATGTCTTAAATACGCTTAGTTTCAATCCGGCTGCAAACCAAGTATATGAAAGACATGGATGAAGTAAAAACTAAATAGTCACCAGACCGGACTTGGTATCCGGAAAATATTCCGGATATTGAATGTCATTTTGTGTTTTATAGTTTTAGTTGCGATTGCTTACATCCGGTTGAAAAATACGGGAACCGCTTTCAACAAAACTTAGTGTTTTTGGTGTTGTATAATGTTATGTAAAAACCTGCTGTATTTCGGGACAGATTGGAGTGTCTCGTTTATCTACATGAAGCATACATTAATATGGTGGTAGGTAAATCGAATACAGCCTACAGGTCGTTGTGCGACTGGCGGCATGTTTTTTTCAGTTCCATAATAAATAGGCCTAATTGTGAATAATCTTTATTTTTCTTACATACGTGTTACCTATATAATGGTTAACTGTTACCCAAATGCAGGATTATTACCCATATTCAGGTAAAAAAGGGATACAGAAACAAAGCAGTTTGTATGCATTTATAAATATGTAGGTAGTTTGAAGTAAATACCAAAAAAGCAAGTCTACAGGGCTATTTTGGTTAGTTTAAATGAACAGATAACCAGGTTGTCGAAAACCACCAACTTGCGCATATACGCAAACTAGCCTATTATACGCAAGTTGGAGTATGGATTTGTTACTAAAAACAACCCAAATCACTTTAACAGTAACTTTTGCAAGATATTATTGAAAATCGCATTAATTTACGACAAGGTAAATACTATTTTGCTAAAAGATGATGACTGAAAGCGTTGGCTACTTAGAAACTTGATGTAACTTTACCGGAAGTATTGCATCTATTTTTGGTACTTTCCCACATGCAAATAAAGTTTATTTTTGCATTTGTATTATGTTTCATGAAAGAATAAATGCGACTTGGACAAACAATTTGAAAAAGTTTAGATTAAAGTGGTTTTGGCTATTTTTAGTAACAAATCCATACCCCTATTGGCGTATAATAGGCGAGTTTGTGTATGATACGCAAGTTAGTGGTTTTCCCCGACCTGATAACATGTTAAAACGAATGATTGCAAATTTCCAGCGATAAAAATGGAGAACGATGTTGAAAGGGTCCAGGGTAAAATCCTATTAATATCCCCCGCTTTCACCGAAACGGGGGATATTAATTTGTTTGTCCGTCCGTCTGTCAGTCTGGCACGCTTCGTTTCCATGCAAAAGCTGCAACGAATGTTAACCGATTTTCTTCAAACTTGGTAACTGGATTGAATGCCTTATATGGCCAAGTTTGATGACCGTTTTCAGCGGACCTTATTTGGCGGAGTTACGGATCCTTGAATAACGAAAAACGAAAAAAAATTGGATATTGTTCGATTTCGATGAAAATTGGTACAGTATATAGGGGTATTAGGGGACTGCGAAAAAAACAGCATAAGTATGTTAGCATAGCAACCACACTGAGGTTTCTGATTGGTCGCAATTTGTTTGATTTCGATGAAAATTGGTGTATAGGGAAATTACGGGACTTCAAATTTAATCGCATACATTTCATTGCCATATAGCAACTACACAGAGGATTCTGATTGGTTGCAATTTAGAAATTGCTCAATTTCACTCAAATTTAGTATGTACATTGTAGGTGTACTATGGCAATGCGATCCTTTTCTGATGCATCTTTGCGACTATGGGGGCAATTTAGGGTAGATCTGTAATGGTCCCCCATTACAATTAGTACTTGTTGCTGTAGATATTGTTAAGATGTTTCAACAAAATTGCTTATGCACATCCAACTCATGCTAAGTTTGCCAACCGATGTGATTTGTGCATATCTATGGATAATCAATGAGGTATAGGGCTTTTTTTTTTCTTAAAGTTTCAAGCTATACATATCTCTCAACAGCACAATACTCACATGTTTAAACCTAACCTCTATAATGTTTACCTACAATATGTTCTGCAAGCAGGGGATATAAATTCCACGAATTTGCTTGTTTTAAAAGACCTAAAGCAATTTTTAATAAAAAGCAGACATTATGGTCTAAATATCTTAAACCTCCTATATATTAAACAATTTAAACTGTTACTTTTGATTCTCAGAGTGTTGTTAAATGCATGACCAGGTGAGCAGTTCAGTCCTCACTAGTCTGGCTCTACTGTTCAAACATCTAATCTTATTCCCTTTATTTCTTCATATACACATCTTTAATTGTCAAAATCTTCAATGTTTACAGTGTAATGAAACTGTTTTTTTTAGTTTTCAGATGAACTTGGCTGGCACTATGGACAACATTTTTGAAAGTGTTTGAAAGAGGTCCGGTGAAAACAAGAAGATATTATAACTATTCAATTAAAAAATTAATATTACATTTGAGTATTAATTCCTGTAATCAAGCTCATCATACCTTGATGAAAAGTCATGGATTCATATGATCCTAACTGTGGCTTAGAGATGGACTGTGAAGAGAAGAATGATGAGGTATTTCAAACTTTCCTGTGTAGAGGCAATAAAGGGGTAGAGGTAACAGACCAAGGAGACATGTACATCGTTAAAAGTACCACAGACCTTTCAGATTTTGAAGACATAGCTGAAGGAGATGCAGAGTTAAAGAATACCTTTGAGTGTCCTGAGGAAGACATCAGTGAGGAAGATGCAAAAAGTTCAGATGAGGAAGATGATCGTAACGATAAGGACTGGACAGGAAGTGATGCTGCATCCTCATCCGATGGTAGTTCTAGTAGTAGTAGTGAAGACTACACTGATGAGGAAATGGGAAGTGAGTAGGCCCTTTCAATGTCTACACATCCTCCATCCAACTTCTTCCACACTTATCTCACATGATCAGAAGAAATCTTACACAATTATTTTGACCTGAAAAATATATATCTACTGGTATCTATATATAGTTATTTATTGAATTTGAGAATATAGAACATATGGAGCCTTAAACTTCAATTCAAGATATTTTATTGTTTCCCAAAGGATTGGACAACAGGCTTACGCGTTTATAAATCTTCTCCGATTTCGGTTACAGCTTATGTGATATCAAATAGTACATTAAATATTTAACATAGGGCTAAGGGGTTATGATTGACAGGTGATACAGATTTACTATTTAAGAGTTTGAATAATTTTGGAAATAGTGATTATTAAACTAATTGAAGTTTGAAGGACTGTAACTGGATAGATAGAAATTTTAGATATAAAAAGGTATAACAATTACAAACATACACAATGATACTTCTACACTACTGTACAATATCAATTAACACATGGAGCCTTATAATTATGATAATTAAGTTACCTAAAGAATTTTTGAAAATCTTATTTTTAGCACATGAGAATTTCAGCATTAGTATTTTTCTTCATTCGTTGAACTATTCATTTTTATGAAGAAATAGTTTTTTATTTGAATGAATTGCTGAATGATAATTAAAGATTTATTGGATGAAAATGGCAATATCAATTTGTGGATTATAATTGCTAAGCGACAATCTTATTATTCAAGATGTATAAAGTTCAGTTAGGGTACAATTTTTCCTGTTACAAACTACTTTTGTACTTTAACAGGTATATATAACATTCACTCTTTTGTTTCAGGTGAATTCAAAGATTTAACAGAGAAAGTGAAAGTCAATAGAAAGAAGAAAGTGGGCGGTGAAACTAACTTTTCTGTCTTTAGTAAGAAGAAAAAAGGAAGGAGAAAGACTGATGTTCCAGTAAGTGGTAGAAAAGGCAATGACAGCAGTAAAATTACTGTACTGAGGATTGGACTTGATAATCAGGTTCTGTCCCAAACCATCATCACTGATGAAAAAAGTGTTCAAATGGCATTGAAAAGTCTCAAGGATTGCAACAAAAAAGGTAGGTCATATAAACTGCTATTTGTTTCCCTTTTAACGTTGATCTGGAGTTGGATTATTTCCCCCCATTATGCCAGGTCCAATTCAGCTTGTTTATTTACACGAGCATGATGTGCTTTAATTTTGGGGATATGAAAATATTGCTCCCTGTCTATAAATTTCATTGGTGTATGATTAGACAATGTCTGCCTTCTATGAATGTTTCATGTCTACCTTCGTTTGTTCACATTCAATTTGGTATTTGCCGTCTAGCAGTATTTGCCAAAATTATCTTCTCAATCTTATGTCTTTTTTTCGTTTGTTCAATTTTTTCATTTGTTGCAATTTAGCAGAATTTTACCATCACACTTATCGTCATCATTCTGACAGCTGTATTTCTAAAATGAATCCTCAGTTTGAAAATGAGCATGATTTGTTAAAGTTCAATGTCACTGTCTGTTTCTAAAAATAGAATTTCACTTAAGAAATCCTTTCCCATGATCATCACTAGTGCTGTAGCTACTGAAATGTAAGTTACTATACGGACATACCTTAGGAAGATCAGATATGGGTATTATTGGTCAAAATTATTGTAATTTTATTTCTCTGTTGGCCGTATTTCCAAAAATGTGGTGTGTGGAGTCTCACACCGACTCTACATAGGGTTTGAGGACATGTACAGCTCTCATCTCCCAAAACTAGTTAGAATATGGGGGTAAATAACTAGTGTGCATCCTGTTAGAAGTCAGGATGTGAAATTTGTGAACCACATCGAGAAGACCTACTAACTAGGTTGTGATAAAGCAGTATATAAGAGCCTCAAATTATTTATTATCATTATCAATAAAGAGACTGCGCCAAGATGTCACAGTGATGCTATTGGCGCAGTCAGCAGCCGAAGGGAGATAACTCTACCAAAATTCACTACAGGGTTTCATGAACTCTGACAGGTACATTGGAAATAACTTCGACCAGTTTGAATATTGGCATGGTTGGTAAAAAGTCCCTTTTAATAATAAATAAAAGTAGGATTTTGCAGAAAGTGGCCTGTGGTCACTTTAGCAGCTTCTGGTATATTGTTTTAGAAGCTTCACACACACTTGGGTTTGACATTGAATCAAGGTTAAGTCACAGTTACTCAAAATAACATTTACAGAAAATTGGTTGTGATCACTCCAAAGGCAGGTCAACAATGGGTAGCTATGCTCACTTTCTGACATTTTGTTTTTGAAAAATGATAAATAAACTAGTTATAAACAACAAAAGAAGATAAAGGACATCAGTTTGATTTGAGAGTTATCTTTAGATTGAAAACTAAAATGTCTACATCTCTTAATAGCTCTTCATCTTTTGTTGTTGTAGTAAAAGCACCAGTTATGGCTTTGAAGAAAACCAAATTGAATGTACAACATGGTAAACAAGAGAGTACCCTCAAAACAATTCCAGGAAGGATCATTAAGGTGATCAAAGTTGTGGGACCAAAAGGTGCAACAATCATAGGCCAAGCACTGAATGCCAGGGGAGATTGTTCACTGAAAAAGTCTAACAACACAGCACTGAATGCCAGGGGAGATTGTTCACTGAAAAAGTCTAACAACACAGATTCAGTTCTTTGGAAGGAAAAAGCAAACCAAATGTCAGCTGATTTAATTCATGTGAGGAAGGAAGAGGTGACCGAAATGTTAGTAGATTCAGCAGAATCCAGGAAAGATTGGATCAATTCTACAGAAGTAACACAGACAGTCAGTACATTAAATAACTCCTCAAGTATATCCAAGGCAGTTGAAAAGGGAGACATATCATCAAATATAACAGTTTTTCCTGGCACAATTTGGAAAGGAGATTTCACTTCATCATTAGGAGCCTTAAGTGTTGGACAGGAAAACATTAGTAATGTGACTATCAAGCAGGAACCCAACAATGACTTTGAGCCTTGTAATTACACACCCATTCTAAAGGATTCAAAGGATGAACTTAAACCACGTTATAGTCATGTGACCTTCACACAGGAACCAAAGGACGACCTTGAACTTGATAGTAATATGGCAGTTCTACAGGAACCAGAATATAACAATGAACCTTGTAGTTACCTAGCTATCATGAACGACCATAACTATACTTGTAAGTCTGATGTTGATGTACCCTGTATCAAACAGGAACCTCATGATGACGTGCATGAGTTGATGAGGACAAGCACTGCAGTGACACAGACAATCCTGGAGGGTGACTCGTCATGTGGTAGATTTGTGGGGTCAAGTAGTGAAACAGAATATATTAGTTCCTTATCAGTTCCTTCTCAACCCACTCATCTTCATTTAAAAAGGAAACAATCTGCAGAGACAAATAAATGTCTAGAAAAGAAAGTGTCAAAGAGCATGAAATTGGATCAATCGGCATCATCACAGTCCACAGTGAAACCCCTATCATTTCAGCCGTTATCATCACAGTTGATAATAAAACTCCCATCATTAAAGTCTGCACTAAAATTCACACCATCTCATTCTGTAAAACAATCCACATCATCACAGTCCACAGCAAAATCCACATCCTCACAGTCCACAGTAAAATCCACATCATCACAGTCCACAGTGAAACCCCTATCATCTCAGCCGTTATCTTCACAGTTGATAATAAAACTCCCATCATTAAAGTCTGCACTAAAATTCACACCATCTCATTCTGTAAAACAATCCACATCATCACAGTCCGCAGCAAAATCCACATCCTCACAGTCCACAGTAAAATCCACATTATCACAGTCCACAGTGAAACCCCTATCATCTCAGCCGTTATCATCACATTTGATAATAAAACTCCCATCATCACAGTCTAAACTAAAATTCACACCATCCCATTCTGTAAAACAATCCACATCATCACAGTCCACAGTGAAATCCACATCCTCACAGTTCACAGTAAAATCCACATCATCACAGTCCACAGTGAAACCCCTATCATCTCAGCCGTTATCATCACAGTTGATAATAAAACTCCCATCATCACAGTCTAAACTAAAATTCACACCATCACATTCTGTAAAACAATCCACATCATCACAGTCCACAGTGAAATCCACATCCTCACAGTCCACAGTAAAATCCACATCCTCACAGTCCACAGTGAAATCCACATCCTCACAGTCCACAGTGAAATCCACATCCTCACAGTCCACAGTAAAATCCACATCCTCACAGTCCACAGTGAAATCCACATCCTCACAATCTACTGTACAATTCACATCCTCACAGTGTACATTACAATCCACACGACCACAGTCTACGGTAAAATCTACACCATCTCTGTTCAAAGTGAAACTCATTTCATCAAAGTCTGGAAAAATAATTGGTGACAATGTTGACAATAAAAAAACAAACAAAAATATATTACACCAGAACAATTTCCATAAAGATGAGGACACCATTCCTTGTCCATTGTGCAAGCTATGTTTTCCATCTATGGTGGAAATGGCAAACCATGCCGCTGTGCATTATGTCTACAAATCTATGAAGGATAAATACAAGTGTGATATTTGTAAGAAAATGTTCTCGTGGGATTATCAATTAACAATGCATCAATCAACAGTGCATGCATCTGAAAAACATAGAAAGATTAAATCCACATGCTCACAGTGTACATTACAATCCACACGATCCACACGATCAAATTCTACGGTAAAATCTACACCATCTCTGTCCAAAGTGAAACTCATTTCAGCAAATTCCATAGCAAAACTTACACCATTACATCCCATAGCGAAAACAATTGTACCATCACAGTCCACAGTAAAACTAACATCATCAAAGTCCTGAAAAATAATTGGCGACAATGTTGACTGTTAAAAAATAAAGAACAATTTCAAGAAAGATGAGGACACCATCCCTTGTCCATTGTGCAAGCTATGTTTTCCATCTATGGTGGAAATGGCAAACCACTCCGCTGTGCATTATGTCCACAAATCTATGAAGAATAAATACAAGTGTGATATTTGTAAGGGAATTTTCTCCAGGGATCATCAATAAACAATGCATCAGAAAAACATAGAAAGATTAAACAATGTGCCAAAGTGTCAAAAGGGAACAGAAAATATTTGTTGTAATTTAAGTTTCCCAGGCAATGATGATACAGTAGCTTGGACCATACATGTATTCTTGGACCTCAATGACAAAGTATAAAATATAAGATTAATTAGTTTATCGTAACCTGTAACAAAGATGATACAGTAGCTTGGACCATACATGTATGTGTAATCTTGGACCTTGATGACGAAGTATAAAATATAAGATTTATTGGTTTATCGTACCCTGTAACAATGATATAAATTGTACAGTAGCTTGGACCATACATGTAATCTTGGACCTTGATGACAAAGTGTGAAATTTAAGATTAATTAGTTTATCCTACCCTGTAACAAAGATGATACAGTAGCTTGGACCCTACATGTATGTGTAATCTTGGACCTCAATGACAAAGTATAAAATATAAGATTTATTGGTTTATCGTACCCTGTAACAATAATGTACAGTAGCTTGGACCCTACATGTATGTGTAATCTTGAACCTCAATGACAAAGTATAAAATATAAGATTTATTGGTTTATCGTACCCTGTAACAATGATATAAATTGTACAGTAGCTTGGACCATACATGTAATCTTGGACCTTGATGACAAAGTGTGAAATTTAAGATTAATTAGTTTATTGTACCCTGTAACAAAGATGATACAGTAGCTTGGACCATACATGTATGTGTAATCTTGGACCTCAATGACAAAGTATAAAATATAAGATTTATTGGTTTATCCTACCCAGTAACAATGATATACAGTAGTTTGGACCATATCTTGGACCTTGATGACAAAGTATAAAATATAAGATTTATTGGTTTATCGTACCCTGTAACAATGATTGTGTGTAATCTAGGACCTTTAGCATTGTTCCTGTAACATTGATGAGTCTATGTTTTACTCTGGTGAACATACTAAAGGCAGTTAGGGTAACCCAGGTTATTAAGGATACTTGGTCCAGTAGATTTACTGAAGCAAACTTTGAACTAGGTAAGTCTAGCAAAGGGTTCAGGAAGAGCCCACATTTGCTTCTGCACCATTAAATGAGGACCAACTATAGAGATCATTGAGTTATCTAACCCTGGTTGTTAAAATATAAATAACCTCAAGAATATGATCACCCATGGTAAATCATTATAACCATATATGCTTCGATTCATGGATAGATAAATGGGGAACCTGTTGCCATTAGATCATGTAATAATTGAGCCCCATAATAGTCACCATACTGTATTTGCCATAATTACCTCCCAGGGCACTTAAAAGTTAGCTGAAAAGAAGGCGCTTATTAGGATAATAAGATGTGCGTTCTGATAGAACAAGTTATGCAACTTTAACTGTTGTTACAGTGTAACAGAAGGACAGTATAGTCATTCCAGTGGGACTGAAGGTTTGGATATTGGATATTTCATCCACTTCACAGGAAAATTCAGCCATGATCACCAGCCATAATCATCAACTGGGCCAGCTTAGGTCTGGGAGGTGGAGGGGGTTTATATACTGTAATTTCAATTCCTTTTGAAAAGCCACATGGGAGCTCATATATATGGGAGGGGGCTAATAACAGGGAATACAGTATGTCCTTTTAAGTGCTAAAACGTATATATGTTCAAGTTAATAGAGATGTAATCTGGACTTTATTTCTGTCTGTCATATTTTCTTTGCTGAATCGTTTATCAGTCTTGCTCAATCAATTATCACTTTTATCCTTGTACCATTGATACACATATGGCATTATTTCTGCTTTAACTGGACAAGATCATCCAGGTTAGATTTACAAAACATGTGCATGCAAATCATAAATATTTGTTTTCAAAATTATGAATCATAATTAGTTCTTAGTATAATTTTATATCAATTAAATTTCAAATTTCTGAGGATTTGAATACATGTAAATCACTACATGTATAAATTGAATATAAACAAGTATACTTGGCATTCACGCATACATTTACATACATTGAAGTCACAGCACTTGTGTAACTCCAGAAACTGTTAATGCAGTAGTTTGTTCAGGTGTAATCCCAGGAATTCAGAATACAGTAGCTATAGTATGCAATACTGGACTGCAATACCTAAGGCCAATTATATTCATGCAACAGTTTACATGAGTAATGTTGATGCAAATTTTCTCTGACGAGTTTAAAGATAAAATATAGAAAATTTTAAATTGACATTTTTGTTTTATTGATACATGTTTGTACAATGCGGCTACATCATTAACATTTTAAGGTAAATGGCACCAACACATTTTTACCGTTAAAACGTCACTATTGTGAAAAAATGGTTTATTCCTTTCAAAACAAGTTTACCATAAAAACCACATGTTGTGACGCATTCTACAAAAGTATAGTTGTTTAAAATTTGAGTGCTTGAAAAAAGAAACAAAAAGGAAAAGCAAGCCCTTTGCATTGCAAGGTGTGCACTTGACCAATGTTGCCATCCTTGAATTATAAATAAACATGAACTAGAATGAGCGTTCAATTTCTAGCTGCAAAGCCTATGAAAAAACAACAAACATTGCAATAGACAAAACTTGACAGTGGAAATTACTCTAAGCAAGAAAAATCTCCGTTTGGTTGCTATATCTCATCCTTCATGATCCATGGGTTACACTCACTTTCGCTCTCTGCATCCCTGGGATATGTCCTAGCAAAATTGAAGGCACGCGGCTAGCTATTTGATTGCAATTGGTCTCTGGTAAAAAAAACCCAGAATCTTCCTGTCTCGGCCTACACGGAGCCCTGGTTTTTGCTATGGCGTATTCCCGGTATTCAGAGAGCGAAAGTGAGCGTGACCCCCGTAGTATCGACCGGTGGCGTAGCATACATTTATGCCTGTATGCTTGCATACATCAAATTTTCAAGATTTTTTTCTAATCGTATATATTATATTTTTTTATGATTAACATGGACCGTCCGTATCAATCATGAAAAGGAAAGAAATTAAAAAAATCTTCTTGAAAATTTTAGTCTGATAAATTAGTGTTGTTATTCTATGTCTATATACTTCGACAAATATCGAAGGTTTATGTGAATCAAAAGCAACTGAGTGAAGAACAAAATAAAATATTATTCATACAAAAATTCGGGTTTAACTTGTTAGTCTAAAAAGGCGTTTCCAGAACACGAGAGATTGCTTCTAGGGCCCATTAGAATGTTTTCCAGCTATATGGCCTCGCCCTATCCTCCCCCTCATTCGGCGCTACGCGCCTCGGACGCTCAACCCTCTGTAAGCATAAACTCCGAAAGGATGGCTATATCTAAACTGAAGGAATAATACTATAAGTAAAAAACAACGTCTAAGTGGAACTCTTTTTAACGAAGATAGCTTATGCAGTGGTACATTTTACCTTAAGTTATACTAAACATGGTACACGTATGTACGTTATTTTCGCCCTGTTACATTTCATCATTTATAGTTTCATAATTAATTAAACCAATCAAAAAAAAAAAGATTGTTCATCAAACTTAGACTTCCATAGAAACCAACTCTCCACAGTTATAAACTACTGTTTTATAAATAAGCAGGAGTCGTGTATAAGCTGCATATCATCTGCTACTAATATCGGATACTGATGTATTCTATGGGAGAATGAGCCAGACAATGGACAAGCCAAGGGCATGCCCGATTGGATTAACTTTTAGAGTGGGTTAAATCTATCCAGGCCATCAATCAAAAAAAATTAGTTATATGCAACTCAAAATACAAACAAAGCACAAGTCTGTTCTTGACCCCGATGTATAAACCACTAGCCCGAGTTTCCTCTTGGCCCTCACACCATACTTGGACATTTTGAAAAGTGTATGTCTAGGGCTCAAAATATCCAAGTCTGGTGTCAGGGCAAGAGGAAACTCTGGCTAATGAACAACAATCAATGATCTACGTCAGCATGTAGTTGTATTCTAGCAACTCGATCCTTGTCTGCACACACTTCAAATGTGTATATGTCATGCCATCCTCGAGACACTAGGGGTTACTCTCACATTCGCTTTCTGCACCCCTGGACTATGTCATAGAAAAAGACAATCAGACTAGTTCGATCCTTTGATGTACATCAAAAGAATCTTGCGGTCGCGTAACGGTAAACATTGACTGGCTTTGAAGTCGGGTGTCGCTCCTTTGTAATCTTCAAAGGACAGGTATCTTTAAGATTTAAGATTTTTTAGATTTTATTTGTTCACTCAGTTGCAATAGTGCGAAACAAGAGGTCATACAGTTGGTACAATTTAAACATGGCGGAACATAATATGATACAGTATGAAGTTGGTATGATAAAAAGTACATTAAATAACAGACTGCTTTCAAAATTCTGCCAAATTTTTCTAGAAATCTACTAAAACGAGTGAGAACTCGTGTATTACAAATTGATAAAAGACCTTGCATTTTAGTCAAGCTTGATTTTTTAGCCCACCATCATCTGATGGCGGGCTATTCAAATCACCCTGCGTCCGTGGTCCGTCGTCCGTCCGTTGTCCGTCGTCCGCCGTCCGTCGTCCGTCCGTAAACAATTCTTGTTATCGGTATTTCTCAAGAAGTACAAGAGGGATCTTTCTCAAATTTTATATGCAGGTTCCCCTTGGTCCTTAGCTGTGCAGGGCAACTTTTGAGACTGATCG